CTTGCTTTTCCCGCACAGAACCAGTGCGCAGACGACGGAACGTACCCACTCGGACTCAGTCCATCAAGCACTGGTCTTGCTTGCCACCGTTTGGAACCAGCACACGGAGGATGGAGCCTCCGGACCATCTGACCAACGCATTGTAACAGAAGACCAAGGACCAGACCCCAGCCCCGTCCTGAGGAGCTGCGCGCTACTTTGAGCACTGTTGGCTGCTGCTGTTACCTGAACTCTGGGCTGATGCGGTGAGTTTGTACAAAGTTCTACATGTTGCTGTTTTATAAGTTCATGATGATAATTTGAGATGAGGACGGCCCGTGGTATTAACAGGAACATCGGTGTTGATAACTGGAGTATCGCTGTTTTACCGGGGAAACAGATACACGTGAATCGAACCAGTTTTGGTTCGTTTGCCGGTGTGAACGCGGACCACACTGGAGTGTATTTGCTACATAATAACAATTTTATTGCCTGGTGCGGACCAAATAATCGAACTAGCGGTGTGAAAACGACCTAAGAGGTAGGCAGTTCATATAGGAACATTTAGATTACAAAAAACCCTAATTACATAAATAATAATTTAACTGTAAAATAAAAGAAATAATACATATTTCCTTCTTTTCATTCATAAATAAAACAACTCAACACAAGCTCATCTTTGCATTAACTCTGTTATCCAGACCAGAACCAGAACCATGAGTTCCTTTAGCAGAGGAAGCTCAGAAGGTTCCTTATTTTAATAGATCCATGTTATTATCCAGCAGTAAGGAGCTATGAGGTCTCCCACAATCCACTGCAGATCAAACCCAACGATTCCAAACACTGTTGTACAAGTTACACTGCAGCAGATTATTTATTAAAATCTTCTGCATAAATAAACTTTACATTACTAAACTTTACAATATATAAAGCATAACGACTCTAGAGCCACATCAGCCTGTTTGCGCACGTGTTTACATTTTACAGAAACGAAACTTAAGTGCATGGCTAATTTGCACAAACAGCGCACTCCACGTGCCGCTCATGCGGTTTAGCTTCTTTCGGGCTAAAGGACGAGACTCTGTGGAATATGAGGATGTGCTGTTGATGGCCTTGAAGGTTTTCACTGGCACCAACTTTCGGTATTCACGGCGGTAGTGAGGAGTGAAGGAGACAAGAGCGCGCAAAGTCAGGGAGGTGGGGGCGCGCGGAGGCGACGAGAGAGAAGACAAACAAGCGAAACGGCGAAATCTAAATTGAATATAAGCATTATATCGATATATACGATATGTCAGAATTCATATCGAATTAAAAAAATATCTCGATATATTTAAAATATCGATATATCGTCCACCCCTAACAATAATAATAATAATAATATCAATAATAATAACAATAATAAAATATTTGTGGCCTTAAGCCTGATCCCATCAGATCTCAGAAGCTAAGCAGGGCTGGGCCTGGTTAGTACTTGGATGGGAGACCACTGGGAATTCCAGGTGCCACAGTGGGGCGCAAGTGGCGAAAACTGTTGTTGTGTCCTTAGGCAAGACACGTCACCCACATTGCCTAGTGTGAAAGTGGAGTGTGCGTGAGTGATAGTGGTGGTTGGAGGGGCCGATGGCGCAGATTGGCAGCCTCGCTTCTGTCAGTCTGCCTGAGGCCAGCTGTGGCTACAGTAGTAGCTCACACTGAGTGTGGAGTGAATGAATAATGAACTGTAGAGTGCTTTGGGTATCCTGAAGGGTGCTATATAAATGCAGTGATTAATAAACAACAACAACAACAGCCTTGTGTATAACATGGTTGCTAGGAGTAATGGAACTCCCTAATGTGATGTCATGATTTAAAAAACAGGGGAAAAAAGAAACCTAAAACTATGGCCAAATAATGGGGGGAAAAAGTTTAAAATGTAAAAAAAATATAATGATCTTATCTATGTTTTAGTAAAATGAGTTGTCCAAACTGTCAGAGGTACTTTAAAGATGAATTGTGTAAATTTTGTGGTGGAGGGTCCGCCAAATACTTTTCTCCATGGAGAAATGCTTCATGGTTATTGCTTTGCCTGGAATGTTTCACAGTATGACATTAAACCTTTCTATCTTCATGGAGACCAAACCAAACCAAATTACAGGTCAGATCTGTGGAGAGGTGACCCAGCTCACATTCACAATGTCTGTTTTTCTAGGTATTTTTGAGCCATAAAACCACTTGCAATTGAATAATTGTAAAGTAGAGCTGTTTAATGTCATACTGTGGAACATTCAGGAACATTGTCCATAGAAAAAAGCAGGTGACGGACGCCCAACCAAAAAGTTACACAATGCACCTTTACATATGTATTACCTATTTGCTTTTGATGATTTTTCTGGTCCAGTAATTATTCTATTTTACTTCCGTAATGTCTGTACCTGATGCTGATTCCTGGTTTATATTGGGTTGTGTTGACAGCCGGGGCCTCAGTGCAAAATGAGTCAGACTTGTAGTTTACTTAAGCCTGACAGATAAGGGTCAAACAGAACCCTAGACCCACCTCAGAACTTCAGACTCATATTTCCAGACTCAGAGGATCAGACTGGAGTAGAACACTTGCACTGTGCTTCATGAGGGCTCTGGATTCTGGATTTGTAAGGTTAGATGTTTATGATTGTGATGCTAACTATTTAGGTCTGTCGTAGTAACTTAACGCTGGTCAAACCTACTAACGCTAGCGGGAGGCATCTCAGGGCAAGAAGGTGCCAGATTGTTATTAATGTTCATCTTGATTTAGGGACAAAATACTAAAATAAAAACCCCAGGATCATATAGAGCAGATTAATATCATAGATTATAAAAAGAAGTGGACTGAAGGAGTGTAATGTCACCTACAGTGTTCAGTTCCAGTCAAATGAAGCTCACTGAGGTTGGTGCTTATAGGTGCAGATTTAGTTTCAAATTAGAGCTAGGAATTTATTTATTGACAAAGTAGTGAAATAAAAATCCCAGGATCATGTAAATTGGGTTAATGTGATCATTTTAAGACCAAAATGACAAGGTTCACAGCAGCAGTTACAGAAAAAGGGGCGACGCTTTTTCAGTTCAAACTGAATTGGAGCCAAAGTCATTGGATCCGAAACTACGCCCATGCTCACTTCCTGTCTGGAATGCAGGGGCTTGTGGGACAATATTAAGTCAGATGTGACTCAAATTGGCTGTGAAGTGCCCCAAGGGTCTGTACTTTTCCTAATTTATGTTAATGATATTACATCGGTGTCTTCATTATTAAAGTGTATTTTATTTGCAGATGACACCACTCTGTTTTACACAGGACAAAACATTAAGGATCTTCTCGAGGTTGTAGAGAAGGAATAAAAAAAAACAACAAAAAAAAGTTTTTTAGTCAAAGATTGTCCTTAAATATCAGTAAAACAAAATTCATGGTATTTAGTAATAGCAAAAAAACATGTCAAAGCCACATCATTTATCAGAGATGAGGAAATGAAGAGGGCACATGTGTTTAAGTTTTTGGGTGTTATGATCGATGAACATCTGACATGGAAGTAATAGGTGTGTTACATAAGGTAAAAGAATCTTTAAATAGGTGTGCATGTATATTTGTTGCATAATTCATTAATTGTTCCATATTTGACCTGTTGTATTGAAGTATGGGGAAGTGCTTGTAAAACTTATGTTAATCATTTTTTCTTTTCCAGAAAAGAGCAGAAAGAAAAAGAAAAGTGGATACAGAGACTTAACCCATCCAATAGTTATATGATTTAAGATACTGAAATTCAATTAACTGGTAGAACTTGATATTTAAAAAATGATGTATAAAGCAAATCAGCAGATCTTGCCGACCAATTTCCAAAGAAAATTTACAAAAAGAAAGTCATTATCATTTGAAAGGAACTGAAATCTTAAAACAGAAAAAACAGGTTCAAAACAACGACAGTGGAAAAATGTTTTTCAATCAAAGGTGTCAGCCTATATAAGTTCAAAAATCTATTCAAATGTTTAAAAGAAATGTCAAACATGAAAAAAGTATGAAGTATGAAAAGTCCTTTTGTGTTAATTAACAAGTATTTAATATTGTGTATGTCACATATATAAGTTGCTTATAAATGTAGCTGGAACTGTTGAAGTGTTGGAAATGTGTTACTTTGTATGAAAAGGGGGCAAATATTACAAGTCTATTCTTCTTTCTGCTCCTTTTCATTCACATTGATGTATGAACATAGTTATTTTGTATTCATCTTTCATGAATGAAACAAATAAAAAAAAAATCATGAAAAATGAAATGACACTAGAAGCCTTCAATCACCATGTCTTTCTTTTATATCTTTTTTTATTTGGTTAAAATGGTATTTAAAAAGTCTCAGTAATGCACATACAGATTTCCCCCTGTTGAGAATATGATTAATACAGCACTGTCTGCATATACTTTTTACTCTTCTTGCAGTGTTGTTTTTTTTATTACTTTTTCTTGAATCTTGAAATTTCTGTTGCAATTTCCCCATTGTGGGTTAAGTAAAGATTTTCTTATCTTATAAAAAAAATATCTCAAACCCAGAAGAATGCACCCTGTGAGTCACCTTATAACACTTTGGGAGAGTGGATGGAGTGTTGGTGGTCCTGCTTTGTTTTGCATTTGAAAAAGTTGCTCTAAATTTCCATATGTGCAAAATAATCTATATGCAGTGTAAATACTTGCAATAAGGGTTTGGGAAAGAGGAAGTATTTAGTTAGAAACCAACGATTTCCTTTCAACATTTGAAATAAGGGACTGCAGTTTTGAGGTCTTCCATTGCTCTGTAAACATTCAAACTTCTGCTGCACTAATCTCTTCATTCTTCCACTTATGTCAGCGCTTAAACTGAATTAGGACCTCTCTGTGTCTGAGGGGCACTGCTTTTGAGAATGCTTCATTTTAGGGAAACATGTAAAGTATCTAGATTACATTGGCCTCCTGTTAACCTTCTTACAGTATATCCCAAACAACGGAAACACTTTTATTCTTTAACCTTTGTGATTCCTCTGCACAGATGCAGGAGCTGGAACAGAGGGTAATTGAAGCCGATCAGAGGGCTGGCAATGCAGAGAAACAGGTAATACTGAAGGGCCCATGTTACATTATTTTCTGCTGTGTGTTCCAATGTCGTTTCCTCATCACAAACAGACCTGGAGATGGGTTTTGTTGTATTCACACATGTTTAACACACAGACCCTGCAGATTTAGGCTGAGTTCTTCTCTCAAACACTCCATGAAAACACTTGTGATGTCATGGGAAGTGCTCCACCCCATTTTTAAACTCTGCACATTTTTGGTAATTTCAATATTATCATTCGTATGTTTACTTCAGCGATATATCACCCTTCAAATTTTGTTAGCATGACAGACCTATTCTTAAAAGTGCATTGTGTCACTTTTCTGGTGGAGGATCTGTTAAATGCTTTTCTCCATGGAGATGTTATTGCTTTGTCTGGAATGTGCCACAGTATGTCTTTAAACCTTTCTAATTTCATGGAGACCAAACCAGACCAAGTTCCAAGTTAATCTAAGTATTTTTGAGCTATAAAACCACCTGTAATTGAATGAATGTAAGGTAGAGCTGTCTGATGTCATACTGTGGAAGATTTCAAGCAGAGCAATGATGTATCCATATTGTAGAAACAACCAGGACCCCCAACTGAAGTGCACTTTAATCAGAGTACATGTTGGTTTATATAAGCTCACAGGCTGCAGTCCACAGCTGCCTTGTTGAATTGCTAATTAAAGGCCATTACAGTTTGAACTCATCTGTAGGTGGTAATTTGATGGAGTCAGAACTTCAAAAACATAGAATACTTGAGCTCTTACGCAGCTGCTTCACTCACGCCAACTCATCCAATACTGTACTATGAGACTTAAAGGCGCACTGTGGAACTTTCTGGTGGAGGGTCTGTAAAATGCTTGTTTCTACCTCGCTCTACCTTATAGTTTTTCAATTACAGGTGGTTTTACAGCTCAAAAATACCTAGAAAATCAGACATTCTGACTGTGAGCGGGATTGGCTCTCCACAGATCTGATCTGTAACTTGGAACTCTAAATCTGGTTTGGTCTCCATGGAGATAGAAAGGTTTAAAGCCAAACTGTGAAACATTCCACACAAAACAATAATATTTCCATGGGGAAAAACATTTGTCAGGCCCTCCACCAGAAAAGTTACACACATTGCACCTTTAATTCATTAGATCAAGTGAATAATTCTAGAATCACCTTTTTAAAGAGAAATAACCAAACTAAAAATCCTTGTATGTTTTGGACTGACAAGTTAATGATATGTTAAAGCAAAACTAAGTACCTTCAGCAGTAGTGCTCTACCAACAGGTCGCCTGTGAAAATACACTGTCGTAAATCCTCTCCCCACCTTCCCCACCGCTCAGCTGAGCTCTCACCTTTGTTTTCATAAAGCCGATGAACACTGTACGCAACAAAATATCTCAGGTGGATAATGTTATTTTACTCTTTAAATAAATAATATCATTCTAAATCCCCCTCGAAATTCCAAACCAGTTCTTGGTAAACGTTCAGGCTGATTTTACATCTGGGCTAAAGTTGTGGATTCCTCCGTTTACATACAGACTGACAATACTGGCAACAAAGAACACTTCCACCTGCTAGAACATAGAACATTACTACTATATACAGATGAAACATTAGTCTGCCAATTACAGAAGTGACTCCGACGAGACTGACGAGACATGCTTTGAGCACATGCAGTGCAAATGCCTGATCCCGTTTGATGCTGGCGTGATGTTAGCCATAGTCACATATCACGTCAGGGCAAAATTTCCAAATTGCATTTGTTTTTGCTCAATGACAACACAAGATGAACATATCCTGAATGCAGATGAGACATGAACCGCTCAAAGCAAAGGATTTATACAAGCATGTATCAGTCTAATGGTTTCATAGCTATTCTGAAAAACGGAGCATGTTATAGGCGGTTTTAAATGATGTCATGTGAATACAATTTATTCTTTGTACTTTTTAGATTCTCGTCATGGAGGAAAAGATCAAGTCTGCCAACATCCAAACCAGCGAATCAGAGAACTCCTTGTACAGAAAGCACCAGGAATTGACCACCCAGCTTCAAGAAAAAGACACACTGATAAAGCGATTGGAAAGCCAGCTGGAAAAACAGGTAGAGACGATAACTGATCAAAGATGGTGGAGTGGCTGAAAATTGTACTTTAATGCTACTTTAATATAATATTACTAAACATTAAAAGGTCCATGTTACACTATTTTCTGATGTGTTGTAATGTAGTTTTCTCATCGCAAACAGACCTAGAGTTGTGTTTTGTTTCAGTCACACACAAACCCTGCACATTTGGGCTTGTGATGTCATGTGGTAATACAGGAAATGTATCAACACATGATAGTGTTTTTTAAACTCCATATACCTTTAAGGTTGTAGGTCCTGGGCAGATTCATTGATTGATTGTGTTTAACTGACCTTGACTATCAACTGTTCTACCTGGAGACCTGTGTAGCATGTTTTGGGTTGATGGGTTAAACCAGAGTGCCCGGAGGAAACCCATCCAGACACAGGAAAACATGCAAACTCGATCACATAAATAAGTGACTGAGGTGACCTGGGGATCGAACCCGGATCCTTCTTGCTGTGAGGCATGAGTGCTAGCCACTCATCACCCCCTCCCCTCCACAGCTCACTAAGTAGAAACGCCTCCTCCTGCCTGCTCCTTACACTAGAAATCATGTTTAAAATTCCTGCACAAATTGCTGTTGAAGTTACCTGTCCAGAAGTAATTTAGCAACCAACGTGTCAGTCTTTAGAGCCTTCATCTGCTTCAGTGCACGCCATCGCTGGAAGGAATCTCCAACAATCACCTTAGTTTGGCATTGCTCCTTTTCCCCTTCTTTTCTGCTTTCAACCATACAACCTTTCACTAGAATCGTATAGTTATAATTTCAGCCATTCAATTGTCAATCTCTACTGAATTAAAAGTAAAAGGAGCTGTTAAATTTGAAAACTACCGCTTCATGACATCACAAGGTGGAGTATTTTGAGCTCTGAAGCTGTAGACAGACTAATAATAAAGGGTTACTCAAACATATGTGAATGAAACTAAACACAACAGGGGCCTCATTTATAAAGGACTGCGTAGGAGTTGTCCTAAACTAGTGCCTATTCCTAGCGGCCACCAGAGGCATGTTCCACGCAAACTCCAAATTTAGAACCCTCTGCGTGCACTCCACCATGCAATTTGTGCTTTTAAGATCCCACCTGCAACTAGAATCTGTGCAAATAAACCCACATCACATCACACCCTCCCACACCTCCACCTCAACATAAAAGGAGCATGCAAAGTGACTTGTAAATGAGATTTACCTAAACAGGAACCAATAATCTATGGGTTTAACTCCACGCAGCACCACATGGTCACGTCAAAGGCTTAAACAAGGTTTTACAAAAAAAAAAAAAAAAAAGTGACAACAATGACTCATCTGTTAATTTAATAATATTTCATCTTATTTAGGCAGCACATCTTTGCAGATAAAGCCAATATATTTTCTCGCTGTTTCAAGAGTTTTATTGCTACATTTTTAAGAATGCCTGTGTGTGTGTGGGGGCTGGCCCCGCATGCATATAGACTAGTAGATACGTGCATCCGGGGATCTGAATGGTCAAAGGATGGGGCTATGAGCGCATACGAGAGTTCAGATGTTCAGATGCCCTCCCTGGGAGCGAAAGGAGCGAGGGAGGGGTACTTGGATCAGCATCCAGGGGACAAGCGCTTTAGCAGGTAGAACTCAGATTTGGCATCTAACACATCAGATACAGATCAGGTACTGTTATTCTGTCAATAAAAGTCTACAGGAAACATCCAAACTCTACTTACCTCTGTGAGTGCGCGAGCCTGGGTCAGGATGGGAACAGACATTATTGTGTTCTTCATATTGTCAGAGATCAAGCTCTCATTTGCAAGAGCTCCCAATTACACAAACATGCAGGGAATATTTCTGATTAAACTCTCTTCACTTCTGCTCCTCTCCCTGTGTCTCCAGACTTTGCGTAGAGCTTACTGCAGGGTCCTAGCTGCCGTTGTGATAAGCGCTGCGCTTTGTTTAGGAAGAGTTTCATAAATCCCGCAGTTGGCGTAAAGAGTGCCTACGCACTGATTTGTGTGTAAGCAAGCTTTATAAATGAATTATAAAGTCTGTTTTTGAGGAAGTAACAACATCCAGTACTATCCAACGAAAAAAAAAAAAAAAAAGCCCATTTAAGTCCATGAAATGTAGCTTTTGAACTCTCCTCTTCTATCTGTCTGAACACAGATTGTGGTCAGAGCTCAGGAGTCAAAGATCATCGAAGAAAAGGCGGCTAAGATTAAAGACTGGGTCTCCATGAAACTGCGAGAGGTAAGAGGGCAGCAAAGGATTGTGGGATTATGAGAAAGAACTGGTTTGGATCAGAGACTTCAGTTTAAGTTATGGTAAATCCTAAAACACTGTGGGAAGACCAGAGACTGATTTTACAGCATGGACAGAGGAGGTAATGGGGGTTTAAAGGTATAGAGCATAGATGGGGAAAGACTGGGAATTAGACTGATTTATTTATTTATAAAAAGAGTACACTAAATAAAAACTATATATTAAGGACTCCACCTTTACATAAAACTGAACATTATAGCAGTGCATTACTTTAAAAAAATGCATTTATGAAACATTTTTATTCAAACATGGATTAAAATTCAATGAAACATTCAACAATTGAATGATTACCCATTTAAAAACAACATATTTCCTTAAAGGTGCATTATGTAACTTTTCTGGTGGAGGTTCTCCATGCTTGCTTTGCCTGCCAGTATAACATTAAACAAATATACCTCACATTTATTAAATTATAGGAGTTTTTATTTCTTAAAACTACCACAGAATTTATTATTGTGAGTGGGCCCACTTCTCCAAAAATCTGACCTGTAACTTGGCCTGGTGATATTGCTGCTTGTCTCCATTGAGATAGTTAAATTAAATGCCATGATATAGAACATTTCGGGGAACAAAACAATAACATCTCCATGGAGTCAAGCAGGTAGCAGAAAAGTTCCACAGTGCACCTTTTAAATTGTATTTTCTAGTAAACACTGAATTCACTGTGGAGTTGTTATTGATTAGAAGTTTTGAAGCTTCTCTATCTTGCATACAGGATTTTTTTTATTGCTTGGTTTTGTGTTGTGCTTGTCACCGTGGTGATTGCTATGTATAAAAATAATAATAATAATAATAATAATAATAATAATAATAATAATAATAATAATAATGCATTAGTCTTAAACTGCACTTTTCCAGCCACATTCAGTGGTGGTAAGACACTGTTGTAGCCACAGCTGCCATGGGGCACACTGACAGAATGTGGCTGCTAATCTGTGCCATTGACCCCTCAAACCACCACCAACACTCACAAACACACACACGCACACACACGCGCGCACACACGCACACACACACACGTGTAAAATGTTATGTTTTTAGATGTGCTTTTGAAAGTCCCTGCCCCCCTTTTCCCCAAAACCTCTAAAAGAAACAAGTGTTAAAATATATATTTATTATATATATTTATATATATTTGTTTTTTTCAGATGGAGCAGGAGAACCAACAGCTGAAAATGGCCAATCAGAAACAGTCAGAACAAATAGTGCTACTTCAGGATAAGCTCCAAGGTAAGTACTGCTGCCATGGTAACAAGCAAGAAGGTCTGGGGTTCAATTCCCCAAATTATGCCTGGTGATAGGACCCCACTTCTCCTGACAGCTTTAACTAGAACATATCCTTCTCCAATACTTTCTGAAGAAATGAGTCTGGTCACGATTAGTCTCCCAGAGTTCAGATGACCATGACTGACAGGTGGATGAGCCAATTAGGGACAAGCATGGTCCATTCAAAACACATATGGCAACTGAAATGGGACTGAAAAACATGGAAGATTTTTGTAGAATGGCGGCATGGTGGCTGAGTGGCTAGCACTCTTGCCTCACAGCAGGAAGGTTCGGGTTCGATCCTTTCTGTGTGGAGTTTGCATGGATGGATGGGTTTCCTCCAGGCGCTCCGGTTTCCCCCATCAACCCAAAACATGCTACATAGGTCTCCAGGAAGAACAGTTGATAGCTAAGGTCAGTTAAACACAATCAATCTATGAATTTGCCCAGGGACGACAGGTGGAAATTAGCACTGACTCTACAACCTGGTACAATGCATCTCTCCTGTCATGGTTAATGTAAAAATTGTGCGCTGTCCCTGTCTCAAATAAATAAAATAAATAAATAAAGAATCAATGAGCAATGAATTAAACTCTGTTCATCTGAGGAGAGAAAAATATGATTTTATCTGTAAATGATGGTGACCAATGAGTTAAACTAATAAATCTGATTGGACATGTTTGATTCTGGCTCAAGGTGCGACGGAGTGGGGGACCAGACTAAAATTCATTTGTATAAAAATTAGTTAGCGTTACTTTATTTTGACCATTTTACAATTTAACAAAACACAACATATAGTTTTTATACTTCAATCAATACATACACCAAAAACATGTAATTTAAAGAAAAGAAAGAAGAAAATAGTTAAAAACTAAAATAAAAAAGACATAGGAAGCATGTCTTATTTTAACCCTACCCCTAATTTACAATATTTAACCACATGATGTTCTTTTGTTTATTTCCACTATCACAGTAATATCAGCCTTCACCAGATTAAACCTTCACCATAGACTTACATTAACTAATTTCCTTACAGTGACAATAAAGTAAACCCTATATTACTTTTGGCAGCTAAATTTGTAAAAATGTGAGTAGCAACTAACCATAAGTTATAAAAAAATACAACAGCTATAAAGTGATTAAATTCCCCATGTTCTATACTGTGGTCTTAGGTCTTCTCTCCTCCTGTATTTTTCTTCCATAGAAAAACAGCTCTCTCTGTACCACATTTCTCATTTAGCACAGCTCCCTAATGTGGAAACACCACAGGACAGTGGTTAAGCAAAGGGTCAAAGTCAATAGTCTTTTTAGTCCTGGTTTAGTCTTGGTTTAGTTCTGGTTTAGTTTTGGTTTAGTCCTGGTTTAGTCTTGGTTTAGTTCTGGTTTAGTCTTTGTTTAGTCCTGGTTTAGGTCTGGTTTTGTCCTGGACTATTATAATAGTTTAGTGGTAGTTCAGTCCTGATTTATTACTGATTTAGTCTTGCTTTATTCCTGGTTTAGGTCTATTTTAGTCCTGGCTTAGTTCTGGACTATAGTAATAGTTTTTTAGTATTGTAGTTCTACTCCACAATCGATAGTACTTTTAGTCTGACCAAGACCTGGCTTAATCCTGATCTAGTACTGGTTTAGTCCTTTTTTAGTTTTAGACTATGTATGCCCTGGTTTAGCCCTTTTTTTTTTTTTTTTTTTTTTTTTTTTTTACCCCAGGTTAGTCAGATCATATACTGTATGCAGGCTATTTTTTCTTAAGGTGCAATGTGTAACTTTTCTGGTGGAGGGTCTGTCAAATGCTTTTCTCTATGTAGATGTAACTTTGTCTGGAATGTTTCACAGTATGGTATTAAACCTTTATGTCTTCCCAAACCAGATCAAGTTCAAGGTCAGATCTGTGGAGAGGTGACCCCGCTCACAGTCAGAATGTCTGTTTTTCTAGGTATTTTTGAGCTACAAAACCACCTGTAATTGAATAAATGTAAAGTAGATCTGTTTAGTATCATACTGTGGAACATTTCAGGCAGAGCAATGACATCTCCATAGAAACAAGCAGGTGACAGACCCCCCACCAGAAAGTTACATAGTACTTTAAGTACAATTTACACATACAGTTTAAATATAGTTTAAATATAATTTTGTCATAGTTTAAGACATATCTAAGATGAAAAAAACTATATATTAGAAATTGGCACTGCCCCATTTTTTTTTACGCATCTTAAAACATAACCACTGTTGTATTGTGTGTTTTGGTCAGTTTTGTTGGAGAAGCCCCCCTCCTTGTTTGGGACCAGCTCCCCGGCGCTGGACACTCACCAGGTCCCTGTGAGTCCCCTGTTCCCCCCATGCCGGCCTGGGTCTCCTCTGCCCCCGGACGAGGGCAGGAGGCAGGGAGGGCCAAGAGGAAATAATCCCCTCTACAAAACTACAATCACAGGTACACAGGGTATGTTAATAGGGGGCCTTTCTATATCAAAAACATCAATTCCCCCCAATTAGGATCAACATAAAAGTGAAGAAATGCATAACACACTCAGATGGCTGATGTCAAAATGTTTTTGGTTTTTTTTATAAAGTTTCACCAAAAAGCCTTCATCAGATAATTTTTTGAACCACAGTTTATAAAATTGTTGCCCACTTATGTGCCCATATCCCCCATCAACAAACAGGAGGTCTCAAAGTGAGGTCAGCCCGCTCTACAACAAGAAGAAACAGTTTGATTTACATCAAAACATTCTATTAAATACAACATTAGTTTGACTGTATCACAAAAAGCATCTTAGATCAAAGTCTTCATTGATGAGTCTTAAGTCTAGAAATCCTATTTTTGACAGGTATATTTCCAGATTTTCACCTCTAGGGGGCAGTTGTATATGTTCAATGCCAGTATAACTTAAGGAAGAGATAGGATGATTGAAATCTACAAAACCTCCTTAAAAATATACCAGTGTGTTTTGTTTAATTCATTTTGTTGTCTGAAATGATCCAAATGATTCTAGTGAATGTGTATGAAGTTTAAAAGCACACTGGGGCACTTCCTGTATTATCAGTGTTTTAAATTTGACAGAAGAACTCAGCCTAAATGTGTGTTTGTGGGTTTGGGTGTTAAACATGTGCAAATGAAACAATACACTGTTTGTGATGAGGAAACAGTATTATAACAGAAATCAGAAAATATGTGCCCTTTAAATAACCTCTGCATTATATTTGACACAGCTTAAATAAAAGTTTTTTTAATTATTTTTTTTAATTTAAATGTTACACACTTGGGATTGAACCAAACATATTCCATAACATTGTATTGTATTTTCAGATCACAAAAGATCCCCGGACCTTCTCACTAAAGGGAAATCCTACATTGACGCTTTCGGACCAGAGCTGCCCCTGATTTTAGACGCTCCATCTTCCGATCGGGACAACTCCTCAGACGAACTCAGCTCCAAATTCCGCTCTCACTGCCTCCACTCTTCCTCCTCCTCTTCCTCCTCATCCTCGGCTTACGAAATGGCGCACGAACCCAGCTCTCCTCTACCAATCACGTCTCTACAATCACAAACTTCCATGTTGTCACGATCTCCTTCCACCAGTAATCCTTTTCCGAATCAGTCCAGTATGACGCTACCAAAAGTCCGAACTCCAGTAATTCCCAGAGACAGTTTACAGCTAGTTAAAAAACATTACAGCCAGCCGCAGCCCAGTCTAGATAAACTACACCACCTTAATGTAAATATAGACATTACAAACCCATCTTCAACTTCTTCTACACTGAAAAGTGCAGGGACCAGCACCTCTCTATTCTCTCAGGTAGTGGAAGAGACGGATATAGATGATGGTTTGTTGGACAGTATGGAGGGAGTGGAGGAGGAAGCAGGTCTGGAGGAAGTGTCCCAGGATGGAGTCTCATTCCTGGGACTGGCTGAAGAGCTGGAGAGGCTGGACCCAGAGGGGCTCAAACCGCCCACGCCACCGCTGCACAGGTTTCCATCATGGGTAAGAAGAGACCATAATTCATCTTGATTTTAAATACATTTTATTTTATGACTTTTTTTGTTTTCTGTGTTATTGTTAAATCAGACCTATTCTGCAAAATGGGCATTTCAGAGCTTTTAACCATGTTATAGTTGTTTTCCCTCAACATTTACTCATCAAAAGTTGTATTTGGAGGGATTCCTGCATGTTTGAGTAATCTTTAATTGTTTATTTGCCGATCAACCCCCGTTTTCACCCCACCGGCAGAAGCCCACTGTGACGTATGCTCCTTGTTCTCAAAATGTAATTTTCTTATTTGATGATATGTGTAGAATTTGGCAGTGTTGTGTAGTCTTTCTCGTACCAGTGAAAATGTGCAGCTAACACCGACTTACTTCTTTTATTAAATTGTTATAGATGAATGTAAATTAAAATGTCCAAATTATAACATAATACTCGACGGGTCTCGTATTATAGCTATAGGGCACACATAAGCACAATATCTTTTCGTCTTGTTTAAGGATGATTTCCTGTCCTCCAGAGCCACATAGGTTCATCCAGAGACATATAGTTTTATTCACTTTTTCCTCTAAACTTATTTGTGAATAGGAGAGCAGGATTTACGCTGTGGCCAAGTCTGGGATGAGAGTGTCAGAGGCCTCTGCAGGACCCAGAGGAAGAGGTCAGTGTGTCTCTAAATGCTACTTACTACTACTACTACTACTACTACTACTACTACTACTACTACTACTACAACTGCCACTACTGCTACTACTACTACTGCTGGTGCTACTTCTACTACTGCTACTACTACCACTACTACTGCTGCTAGTGCTACTACTACTACTACTATTACTACAACTACTATGCTACTGCTTCTGCTGCTGCAACTACCACTACTGGTACTACTACTACTACTACTAATATGAATTATACAATGTTCACAGCATTCTAAAGGCCAGTATTGAATACAAATGGAATTTAGGGCCCTTTTTGATGTCACTTCCTTTTGACCTGCAGGTGTGGACTGCCCCCCTCACACCTGTGCAGCTGTAGCCCCGCCCTCTTTCTCCACCTGAACTCTTTATTTCAGGCTCTACCTTTAGGCTGCTGGAGGAAGAGAGGAGGGCAGGAGTGAGAGAGACTTTTTAATCAGAGCTGATGAAAGAAGAGAGACTGTGTGATTACAAAGAGCTGCAGAGGCATTACAGCGTGAAGAGAGAGAAGGAAAGAAAGAACGAGGGAATGAGACTATGAATAGAGAAAGAGAGAAAATGAGAAAGTGAAGAGAAGAGAGGGAACAGAAAGAGGAGGGGAGAATGAGGGGTGAAAAGGGGGTGGTTGAGAGAGAAAGAGGAAGAGAGGAGAGGAGGAAGACAAATGAGAGAGCAAAACAAGAAGGGAGAGAGGGGTGAGAGAGTGAATAAAGAAAAAAAAAGAGGTGAAGAGGTAGAGGAAAGAGGCAGAGAGAAGGAAGAGCAAGAGAACAGAAAGAGGGGGAGAGAGAGAAAGAGATAGGGAGGGGGACGGAGAGGATGGTGAGAAAAAGGTAGGAAGAAAGGAGAGATAGGAAGAAAGGGAGAAAAGTGACTGCAAAAGGAGAGAGATTGGAAGGAGAAGGAGGTAGAGATAAAGAGAAATGAACACGAAGAGAAGGAAATGGGAAGTTAAAGAGGGAGTTAAGGGGGAGAGTAAGGGAGAGAGAAAGAGAGAGAGAAGGAGGGAGGAAGAGAGAGAGACTAAGAACAGAGGGAGGAAGGTAGGAAATATGAGAGAGGTAAAAGAGGGGGAGGGAGAGAAACAAACTGAAATAAGAAGGAAAGGAGAGTGGGGGGAGTGGAAGAGGGAGAAGAAAGGAAGGAGAAGAGTGTGCAGAGACAAGAAAGAGATGGAGCGAAAGAAGATAAAAAGAGTGATGAAGGAAGGATCTTTCCTTCAGAGGGACAGAGCAAGCACAATGAATAGCTAAGGGGGAATAGAGAGAGAGAGAGAAGAGAAAGAGAACGAGAGGAGACAAATGAGAGAAAAAGAAGATGGAGACAGAGAGACAAGAGGGAGAGAAGGGCACCAAATAAAAAAGTTGATAAAAGGAGAGAGAGGTATAGCTAGGATAGAGAGATGAGAAAGAGAGAGAGAAAGAGGTTAAGATGGAGGGATATTTCCTGGTTCTAATCTGGTTTGGATTAGCTCAGAGCAGACTCAGCACTTTTCCACTCTCAGGTTCAGAACTCAAACCCCTCGTGCACCATCTGAAATTAATCACTCACTTTAGAGAATAGAGGCTCAGTTTAATTTTAAAGAGTGAACCTTCAAAATAAAAGCTTCACTATGACACATTCTAATCTCCATGGAAACACAGACTAGTTTAACTACTAGACTAGTTGGGACCCACCCAGAAAAACATGCAACATTTAGAATTGTTTATTTGTATTATCTGTCTGATGTATGAACATTTTGACCAGATTTTCTATTTTTTTATTCATTCAACCCAGTATCTTAAAAGATGCATTGTGTAACTTTTCTGGTGGAGTTTCCATCAAAAAATGCTTTTCTCAATGGACATGTTATTACTTTGTCTGGAATGTTTCACAATATTGAATAAAAATTTTCTGTCTTCATGGAGACTATTGAGCTATAAAGTCACCTGTAATTTAATAAATGTAAAGTAGAGCTTTTAATGTCATACTGTTCAACATTCCAGGCAGCACAATGACATCTCCATAGAAACAAGCAAGTGATGGACCCCCGACTAAAACATTACACAGTGCAAAAAAATATATTATGAAGAGCCTAATAAAAAATCAGTTTGTAAATTTGAAAAGTGCAGTGTTTTTCTCTTCTCTTTTCTCTGTGTTTAAAAAAAAAAGTAATTATAACATAACATAGCATTAACTATATGTCATTTTTCATTGATTTTAATTTTGATTTCTAATTTAAATAATATACATCTGTTCTTTTTGCTCCAGGTTTACCTCAGTATCCAGCTCCAGGCCCCTTCTCTCAGCTCATCTACAAAAAAATCAGTGTCCCAGTCTACACCACGCTCAAAGGGGTAAGAAAAAAACAACATTTTTTCTACAAATGTGTTATAACACAACATTTACTATTTATAATTATAATACTTGAAAATGTGTACATAATATAATATAATATTATATAAACAGGCTGTTTTCTATATATATCATATTTTATATATATATATATATATATATATATATATATATATATATACTCCCCAACCAGAGATTGGGTACGAAACCCCAATAAGTATCACGCTGAGCGAGGCAGCGACTGACCTGAAAGATAAGATCATGGCCCGAATGAACACAAGGCAACCCCGATGCCGGTTACAGAGGCTAAGTGTAGTACCATCTGAAAGTCTCCTAGACGATGTGAATGCAGCACTGACAGTGATCCCTACCACAACAATCACTGAAACCAATGAGCTGATATACACTTCAGCAGCAGTGATCCTAGATGTGTTGGGCTATAAGAGCAACCATGGGAGCCATGCGATACAATACCCACCATGGCAAAGACGGTTAGAGGCTAAAATCAAGGAGGTGCGGAGAGAAGTGAGCCAACTGTCAGAGGCCCAGAAAGGTGTAATGAAAAAGCAAGTGCCCAAGAGGTACAACCAGTTGCCCATACCTGAAGCACTCGAAACTGCCAAACAAAGGCTCCAAGCCTTGGCCAGCCGCCTAAAGAGGTACACACGAGATAACGAGGCCAGACGAATAAACCGGCTGTTCGCAACACAACCGGCGAAAGTGTACGCTCAGTGGCAGGGTAATAACAGCAGAGCATACCCACCAAGGCTGGAGACTGAGAGGTACTGGAAAGGCATATGGGAAAGGGAGGCATCACATAACACCGATGCACAGTGGCTGGTGGATCTGAGAGAAGACCACAGCAACCTCCCTGAACAGAATCCAGTCACCATCACAGTGGCAGACATCCAGGGAAGAGTCTCAGGTATGAAAAACTGGACCGCACCGGGCCCTGACATGATCCATGCGTACTGGCTAAAGAAGCTCACTGCCCTCCACGAGCGCCTGGCAGCACAAATGAACTAGCTGCTAAGGGATGGGACTCACCCTGAATGGTTAACCCAAGGGCGTACGATCCTGATCCTAAAGGATCCTTCAAAGGGTGCAGTCCCATCCAACTATCGGCCAATAACCTGTCTCTCCACAACATGGAAGCTCATGTCAGGCATCATTGCGGCTAAGATAAGTGGGCACATGAATCAATACATGAGTGCAGCACAGAAGGGTATTGGCAAAAACACCAGGGGAGCCAAACACCAACTCCTGGTTGACCGAACAGTCGCCCGCGACTGCAGAACCCGTAAGACCAACCTGTGCACTGCCTGGATTGATTACAAGAAAGCCTATGACTCAATGCCACACACATGGATCACTGACTGCTTGAAGCTGTACAATATCAACAGGACTCTAAGGGCGTTCATTGCGAACTCGATGCGGTTGTGGAAAACCACCCTTGAAGCCAAGGGGAAGCCACTTGCACATGTGTCCATCAAATGTGGCATATACCAAGGAGACTCACTGTCCCCACTACTGTTCTGCATAGGCCTGAACCCCCTCAGCCAAATAATCGACCGCACTGGCTATGGATACCGACTCAGAAACGGGGCCACCATCAGTCACCTCCTCTACATGGATGACATCAAGCTGTACGCTAAGAGTGAGCGAGACATCGACTCACTGATCCACACCACAAGGATCTACAGTACAGACATTGGGATGTCATTCGGGCTTGAGAAATGTAGCAGGATGGTGACAAAGAGAGGGAAGGTAGTCCACACAGAGGGGGTGTCACTCCCAGAGGGAACAATAGCAGACGTTGAGAACAGTTACAAGTACCTTGGTATCCCACAAGCAAGTGGCAACCTCAAAGAGGCAACAAGGAAAGCGGCTACGGCCAAATACCTGCAAAGAGTGAGGCAAGTCCTTAGAAGCCAGCTCAATGGCAAGAACAAGGTGCAGGCAATCAACAGCTACGCCCTGCCAGTGATCAGATACCCTGCAGGGATTGTAAGCTGGCCAAAGGAGGAGATACAGACCACAGATGTTAAGACACGAAAGCTCCTGACCATGCATGGAGGGTTCCATCCCAAATCCAGCACCCTGAGACTGTACGCAGGCCAGAAGGAAGGGGGCCGAGGACTAGTGAGTGTGGGAACCACTGTCCAGGATGAAACATCCAAGCTCCTTGAGTACATCAAGGACAAGGCCCCGGCAGATGAGGTGCTCAGAGAATGTCTCAGACAGTGGGGTCCAGAGGAAGAGGTGCTGGAGGGACCATCATGGCAGGACAAACCCCTACATGGGGCGTACCACCGGAACATAACTGAAGTGGCTGATATCAGGAAATCCTACCAATGGCTTGAGAGGGCTGGTCTGAAGGACAGCACAGAGGCACTGATCCTGGCTGCTCAGGAGCAGGCCCTGGGCACTCGAGCAATAGAGGCCCAGATCTACCACACCAGACAAGACCCACGGTGTAGACTGTGCAAAGAGGCTCCTGAGACAGTCCAGCACATAACTGCGGGGTGTAAGATGCTGGCAGGGAAAGCATACATGGAGCGACATAACCAAGTGGCGGGCATAGTGTACAGAAACATCTGTGCAGAGTACGGGCTGGAAACCCCAGGATCAAGGTGGGAAACACCTCCAAAGGTTGTGGAGAATGACCGAGCCAAGATCCTGTGGGACTTCCAGATACAGACTGACAGAATGGTGATGGCGAACCAACCAGACATAGTGGTGGTGGATAAGAAACAGAGCAGAGCCGTGGTGGTTGACATCGCAATACCAAGCGATGGTAATATCAGGAAAAAGGAACACGAGAAGCTAGAGAAATACCAGGGGCTCAAGGAAGAGCTGGAGAGAGCCTGGAAAGTAAAGGCATCAGTGGTGCCTGTGGTGATCGGAGCACTCGGGGCTGTAACCCCCAAACTGGAAGAGTGGCTTCAACAGATACCGGGAAAAACAACGGACATCTCAGTCCAGAAAAGTGCAGTACTGGGAACAGCAAAGATACTGCGCAGAACTCTCAAGCTCCCAGGCCTCTGGTAGAGGACCCGAGCTCAATGAGGGTGAGAGAGACCTCCCACCGTGGAAGGTGAGAAACACATTTTTATATATATATATATATATATATATATATATATATATATATATATATATATATATATATATATATATATATATATAATATATATGTATATATATATATATATAAATCCATGTGTTTTTGTTTTTGTTTGTTAGAAAGCCACAAAGATATATATATATATATATATATATATATATATATATATATATATATATATATATATATATATATATATATATATTAGTGCTGTCATGCGATTAAAAAAATTGAGAGATTAATTAATTATGATCTGTAATTAATTAATCTAATTAATCTCTTTTTAATCTCACCTAAAAAATGCTGAGAAAAGCCTTCAAGTTGAGGTATTTTCATTTAAATTCATTATTACATTATTGTGGCAGATCAAAAGACTGATATAGAACAAAAAAAAGTGACTTTATAAAGTCATTTATTGTTTAACAAATCTCTCCAAATTGACTGTTGAGCCCAAGTCTCCATGAATAAGAAACTGCTGTAAAGTAGCAAAGATGAGGAAAGCTGAACATAATAACTTTTGTCTACTTAAAGACAATAAAAAGTCCAGTCTTTCCTTAACCATATTAAAAATATTATTGATAGAGAAATGCTTTATATATGAGATCACTGGTTTTAGTTCTGGTTTTAGTCCTGGTTTAGTCCTGGTTTAGTCCTGGACTGGGTTAGTCCCTGTTTTAGTCTTGGTGTTAGTTCTGGTTTAGAGGCGCACAGGAGGAAGCGCGGTTTACGCAGCGTACGCGAGAAAACGTACGCGGCGCACGGGAGCACGTCGGTATCCACGCAGTAACTACGGAAAGAAACATGGTCCGCGCGTTCTCAGGTTAATGACGATGATGAAGGTGTGTGTTTGTGTTTGTGTGTATTTGTGTTTGTGTGTATTTGTGTGTGTTTGTGTGCGTGTCCCCTCATGTGGCAGGTCACTATAGGACAGTAGTGCAGACATCATGAGTCTATGCAGGTTGTTTTCACCAGTGACATTTAAGTTGTAGGCGATTTTATATTTGTTATTTTCTTTTATATTTCACGTCGGGAGAATAATTTCCAAGACACGAATGTGTTTTTACCTGTGCACTGCTGACTCTGTTCTACTGGCTCTTCCACCTCGTCCATTGTGCGACTAACGCCGCAAACGTTAACATGACGTTTGCATCGCTCTTACTGCACGCGTTTTGTGTGGGTTTCCGGCAATGAGTGGAATTACCGAAATAAAAAAAATAATTAATGTGTTTTTTGTGTTGTCCCAACAACACATAAAAACAGATTTTATAATAAAGCAACTCGCATACAGAAACTGTAAAGTTAGAGATTAAAAATGAGATTAACGCGATTAAAAAACATAACGCGCTAAATATGACTGTAATTAATTAATCGCAATTAATGCGATAATTTGACACCCCTATATATATATATATATATATATATATATATATATATATATATATATATATATATATATATATATAAATCCATGTGTTTTTGTTTTTGTTTGTTAGAAAGCCACAAAGATCAGCAGTGTCCCTCTACCTGATGATGACTCTGGTTCAGAGGATGACAACAGCTCTTTGGCTTCTTTGCGAACCTCCATTTTGAATCCAGACAAAAAGGGGAATGTCCCAGGAAGCCCTCGCGCCGTCAAGAGAGGTCTGAAATGGAGTTTACTCTTAAACGTGCACTCTGTAACTTTTTGGTTGGGGCTTGTTTCAGTGGATATGTCACTCCTCTGCCTGAAATGTTCCACAGTATGACTTTAAACAACTCTGTCTTACATTTATTTTAATAATTACAGATGATTTTATAACTCAAAAATACCTAGAAAAACAGGCTTTCTGACAAAGAGTGAGGTCGCCTCTCCACAAATCTGACCCGGAACTTGGTCTGGTTTGGTCTCCATGATGGTAGAAAGGTTTAATGCCATACAGTGGAACAATGAACATTGTGCAGAGAAGAGAGAGAGATGGAGACGAAGAAGAGAAATTAAGGGATTTAAAGAGGGAGAGATAAAGGGAGGAAAGAGGAAAGAGCAAGCAGAGAGGACAGGTAGAGAAAGAGAGAAGAAAAAAGTAGAGGGAAGAGAGAGAATGAGGAGAAAAAGGAGACAAAAAAGAAGAGAAAGAGAGAGGAAGGAAAGGATGGAGAGAATAGAGAGACTGAATAAAAAGAGGGATTGACAGAATAAGAAAGAGGTAGCTAGGATATTTCAATCTGTGATTTTCAACAGTTTTGACAACCCCAGTTTCTTGACAAAAGTACTCAACTTCATTATTTTGAGTATTCATAATTCAGTTTTTTGGAGTATTGTATCTTGTTTCTTTTCAGGTGTTTCCATGTCTTCAGTCAGCTCAGAAAGTGACTATGCGATTCCCCCAGACGCCTATTCTCTGAACAGTGACTATTCTGAACCTGAACACAAAGTACAAAGGACCTCAGCCTACTCCTGTGAAAGCACCGGACCAGTCAGTATCACATGACTTTTCATAGGATCTCTTCACAGTTACCAGAAGACGTTTGGAAACATGCAGATGACAACTTCCGGTGTAGTTAGCGACACTGGGCCTGTGATAAAACCACGGATTCAGCAGCATCGTCTTGACAATCTGCCAAAGCTTTCTATGGGGGACATGACTTTGCTGTCACAAAGTTTTTTTGTTTGTTTTAAATTAAGTTAAGTTAAGATAAATTATAATACACAAATTAATAGGCAATTTATGTAAAAAAGAAAGAATACAGTGATGTCTAGATGAAGAAAACTGGGCCATTCTCTATCGCCAACAGAGCACAAAGGAAGTAGTCATCCGCATGTTTCCAAATGTCTGCCGGAGTTTCATTAGTAAAACACAAGCTGATTGTTTTGCGAATGTGATGTCACTATGAAGGGGGAGCGACTTAGCACAGGGAGCAAAGGGGAGGGGTGACTCAGCAGTGCTTTGGTCTCTTTAAGAACCTCCATTTTGAATCTGAACAAAAACAGAATTGTGTTTTACATCTATAATAATCAAAGTTATACTAAAGATATACAAGTGTAATAAATGAAATTAAGTATAATAATAAATAGGCTGCATTAAAATTGACAATGTCATAATTTCAGATTGAGGGTGGGGGCCTATATAACTTTATGGGACATGTGTGTTTGAAAGAAATTTCCAACTTTCAACAAATCTGCAATTTGACAGTTAAAGGTATAGAAGTGGATTAAGCGAGTGTGATGTCACCCATGGCATTCAGCTCCAATCAAATGAAGCTCACTGAGGCTTGCAGTTACAGAAGTGAATTTGCAGCCAGGCTCTGTATGAGGAATATGATATTTTTATGGGCAAAATAGCTAAATTAAAACCCCACACTATAACAAATTTCCTGTAAATTTTACCATAAACACCTGGCAATTTTGTTGCCAGGTGTTTATTGTATTATTTCAGTAAATTACTGTAAATTGTATTTACAGGTAAGAGCTGGGAACACTTTACAGGTTTTTGTTGGGGAATTTTTACAGTTATTCATTGGTTTGAAGTTTACAGTAAATAATTTATCTGCAGCTTATAGCAAAACTTATACCACATTTACAAGTATTACCTGGCAATTTTGTTGCCAGGTGTTTATTGTATTAATTTCAGTAAATTACTGTAAATCATATTTACAAGTATTACCTGGCAATTTAGTTGCCAGTAATTCCCTGTAATTTAAAAAAAATACAGCTAATCAATGTATTGTCATAAGAACAGACAGACTCAGAGCTAAAATGCATTCAAACATTTATAAAAAAAACAAAAAACAGTTACCACAAATACACATTAAAATACGTAAACAAAAGATGTAACAAAATATTTAACACATGTAACTGACAGTTGGACATGAGCTGATGTATAAAGTCCATAAAGAGCCTGAAGAGAAGAGACATGAGGATCCTTCAGCTCTGTATGAGCTGCACTCAAGTCCTTTAGGCTCCTTCTAGATCTGTAGTCCTGTGTTCACCTCATGAAACATCTGCAATCACAAAACACACAGGAATCAAAGGAGGTAACAGCACTCTGTATTATTCTAATGTCATGCAGAAATGTTCACCTGTGAAGTGCAGTGGATGCAGTGAAGAAGTGAGTTGAGCTCAGACACAGAGCTGGAATGTGACCTGATCTTAACTGATCAGTGCTAAGTATAAACCAGGAGACCTAAACACAAACAATCACATTTTATTATTAGAATACACCTTTAATATATATACACTGAGAGGAGTGACAGAAAACAACTGTGCTTAATGTTATTATAATGACCTCAACATCCCACCACTAAGTGTGTACATGAATGACATGCTCACCAGTCCAGTGTGCAGGAGGCTTCTAGTGAAGAATGCAGGCAGCTACAGAGATGAGGTCCTCAGTCTCCAGTGTCCACCTGGTCTGGTGACACCTAAACAAATAAATGCATATTTTTTATTAAACATGGTGTTCATTATTACACCTGCAATCACAGAACATTATCTTCCATGTTTTTTGACATGTTTGGCCAATTCTTTAATTTAATCACAAGTTTACCTTTACTTTACTCCAGTGCACAGTGGACTTTTATATCCGTGTTGATGAGCCAGCTCAGCTCATGGTGAGATAAGACCTGGACCTGGTCTTCTCTCTTCAGTCCACCACCTGGTGTAGGCCGACTGCACTGACAACTTCACCTGAACAAACACATTCACATTTGTATCAAACATAGACGTGTAAAGCCTGAACTGGCAATATGCTTTTGTAGCTCACATTCACAGTAAACACGCCTAAACATATTCAAAACATTAATAGAGTGACAAAGATTCCACTGTTCCTCCTGCCTGCTCCGGTGTGTCCGCGGCCCCGCCCCGCACACACCTCTTTCCCTCCATGACACATCTTCTACCGGGCTTGTACCAGATCCAGTGCCCGCATTCACTGTTCACATGTAAAACAGCGGCTCAGCCCGCGCTCACCTCTGATAAGCACTGACTCTAGTGCGATACGCGCCACAAACTCCTATTCTCCCGGAGTTTTACGATGCTGCGGCCGGTGTCTGCGTTGTTCCCCGCACACTGTAGTATCATTCCGCGCTCACCTCGGTTCACCGCTGCCTCTCGTGAGCGCCACACCCGCTCTACCGGAGAGTTCATGTGTCGGAGTGTTACCGCGGCGCAGCCTCGTCTGGACCCGGGTCCGTCCGGCTCAGTTCGGATGACCGACACCGCAGTGCCTCGCGCGCAGCAGCAGCTCGAAGATGAGCTGCACCGGGCTCGAGGGAGTCGGCCATTTTCCTCACGTGCTCATGTAAACAAGTCTATACCGGTCTAAATGCGCATGCGTGACCACAGATAACAGCGCGGTTCTATTATGTTTAATAAGCTATGTTTACGTCTAAGTGCGAGACGACTTACACAGACACAGAAACAAACAAATAAGCTATCTTACAAGCTGTATTAGAACGGGGGAAAAAATATAAAAATGACTTAAAATCAAACAAACAAACAACAACAAAACAACAGGTTACTTACTCTTTTGTGGAGTAAATGAACCAGTGCATTATCCCGATGAGCTCCTCTTTGTCTCTGCTCTTCTTAACTGAATGTGTGCGGTGTAGAAACATTTGAAAATACAACATTTACATGTAATATCCTCCCATCTACAATAAAGCACAAACTCATTTTAATTTACAACAGGCTGTTGTAGAAAAAGTTCTTACTAACTGTATTTTTTTTTGTCCCACAATGCATTGCAATCTACAGTTACGGCATGTAATTTGTGAAAGCAAGAAGCAGTTGTAAAAGTTACTGTAGAAACTACAGAAATTTGTTAGAGTGCAGGGTCACGTGCTCAATAATATGAACATTTTAAGACCAAAATGACAAGGTTCACAGCAGCAGTTACAGAGAGAGGGACTGCAATATTCCAATGTAAGTCAACTGGAGCCAGGCGGCTAGTGCTTTACATCTGTCCATTTATAAACATGGTCTATGGTTCATTCCACCTGAGAATTCTCACCTGTCTTCCAGCTGTTTAAATTATTGCTATTTGCAAATGTTGTGATGTCACATGAACACAACCTTTTATAACAGCAAAAATGTCGAGCTTTAACTCTTTCTTTATCATAATGATCATGTCCTCTCTGATTCAGGAGACACTGGAGAAGTCGGGGTACCTGCTGAAGATGGGTGCGCAAATCAAGGCTTGGAAGCGACGCTGGTTTGTCCTCAGAAATGGAGAGATCCTTTACTACAAGTCTCCTGTGAGTTTAATGGAGTGTCTGTACAGGTGCTGTCTGTGTCTGTGTCACTACACATCTGTAAAACACTACGAGGGCAGGTGCAGAGAGCAGGTGCAGAGGGCAGGTGTAGGTCTGGTTTAGTCCTGGTTTATAGTTCAGCATCAGCCAAGCCTATAGCATAACAGAAAAAGTTATTCAGACTTATCAGACTTTGCTTGTTTAGTTAAAGTAACAGGATGTAACATTCTGGAGGTGGCACGTTAACCTGTGTGAATCCATGCAAAAAGAAAGTTTTTTCTCCATTTTCCATGGAGATAGATAAATTTTATGCTATACTTTGGAACATCATAGCCAAAGGAACAACATTTCCATAGAAACAAGCAGGAGGCTGCCCTCCTCCAGGCCAAATAAGAGTCAGGTTTGTGGAGATGCAAGTCAGCTTATAGTAAGGACATGTGTTTTTCAGTGCTAAATACATAATCAAAATGAAAAAATATGTTTTGTATTTCGGTCTATTCTTTTGCTAAAAAGTTAAGTACTGTGGCTTTAAAATAAGAATCTGAAAAAAAAAAATTCTGTGATCTGATTTGAATTTTGTATTTTTTCAGAGTGATGTCATCAGGAAACCTCAGGGTCAGATTGAGCTGAACTCTTCCTGTCGCATCATCAGAGGAGAGGGGTGTCAGACATTTCAGGTGAGTGAAGAAGGGGCATCACAAACATTCCTGGAGTTATGTTTTATTTCATTCACACAAACCCTGCATATTTAGGCTGAGTTCTTTTCTCAGACAGAAAACACTCCGTTCTACCTTGTGATATCATGTAATAATACACAAAGTGTTCCACTGTGTTTTTAAACTCTATACACCTTTGCTGGAATCATTTGGATGATTTTAGCCCTGAAATTGCCAACCTCTACTGAACAAAAAGTAAGGAAGCTGTTAACTTGAAAACTACATTTTGAGCATTTTGACCTTTGGAGATGTAGACAGACTAAACCAAGATTACTCAAACATGTGTGAATAAAATGGAATGCAACTACAGGTCTGTTTTTGAGGAGGTAATGTCATTATAACATTCCTCCTGTTCCTGTAGCTGATCACAGAGAAGAAGACTTTGTACCTGACCGCAGACTCTCCAAGCATTCTGGAGGAGTGGATCAGAGTCCTCCAGAACCTCCTGAAGGTCCAGACCTGCTCCTCTTTCAGTCTCCAGACCACAGCCAAGCCCATGGCCCGAGGTTGGCTCACCAAGGTCAGACTCACACTTGTACAAAAGACAAGAGGGTTTGGTTTATGAGTATTTGTGATTATACTGGGGCTGTAGACGACCAAAAAAAATCTTGGTCGATGCCCTGTCCATCAGCTGGTCGACTAAAAAGGGGGCATAGCGAAAGCTTTCAAAACTATTGTGGCTGTGTCTCATTTCTCTTTCCTTGCTTCCTTCTCCTTGATTCCACTCCTTAATTCTGCAGGAAATGGGAGAGGAAGTCCTGCCCACAGAGGAGACATGGGGAGGAGAAAGGATCTAAACTCCTCACTGAGACGAATAAAGTTTGATTCTTTTCTCTGGCGTCTGCTCCTGAAGCCTCCATCAGGTTTACTCCATTCTGTGATTTTCTTTGGGACAACGATTGATAGAGAAGGAATCAAGGGGAACAAAGCAAAGAAAGAGAAATGAGACATGTGCATCTGAGCCAAACTGCACTCACAAGACTACACCTGCAGGGGGCGCTCATGCAAGACGGCAACTACTATTTATGAAGAAAAAAGTACTAGGAATTGTAATGCTTTTATGTAAAGACAGATTCAACTTGTGAATTCTGAGTTTATTCTGACTTTTTACATATCAGCTCCTTTCTAACATTTTCTTTCTCCTTTTTAATTTCTTCCTCTCCATACAAATCCTTATAATCTTAGTCAACTAATAGAAATTTTGTACCATCAACCGATGAAAGGACTACGTTTTCTACTTCATTTCACTTCAGTGAAACTTTTATTTCACTTCTATTTCAATTATCATTTAACCAAACCATCCTTAAGTTTTGATTAAATTCCAAATGGGCTGAAGCTTGGAGTTGTAGTAGCTCTCAAGGGGACCCTCAAATAACTTCCTTTTAAACCTACTCTTATTCTTATTGTTGGAGTGACCCTCCTCTTCCACTTCCTCTTCCTCTGTTCTCTCTATAGAGGACAGAGGAAGAGTATGAGAGGGTCTGACAGTTCTAAACCTCTTTCACGTCTCAACACGGTTTAGACCTTCAGCTTCAGGAATGTCCACAGACCCCCACTCTCTCCTCTCTCCCTCCCTCCTGTTTCTCTTATTTTCTTCTCCTTCTTCTCTTCCATCTCTTTTCTCCCTTTTCTCTCCCTCCTCCACCTCTTCTCTTCTTCTTCTCCTCTCCTTCTATCTCTCTCTCTCTCCCTACCCCCTCCTGCTCTCTTGCTAACTACCCCCTCTCCTCTCATCCCTCTCCTTTCCCTCTTCACCCAACCCCTCTCCTTTTCTCCTCTTCCTCTCTTCCTACCTACCTCCTCTCTTCTCATCCCTCCCCCCTCTTCTCTCTCAGTCCTCTGCCCTAACTCGTCTTTTGTTGGTGAACTAAAAACTGTCTACATCCGACAGACCAGAGTGATGATGGATGATTGACAGATGAAGTTTAACTACACTCTAAAAAAGGAAAAATACACAAAAACATTTGAATACAAAATTTAAAAACAAAACTTCCCAAATCTTATTCAGACCTGCGTGAAGTTGGCTCCCCATCAAATCTACACAGTAACTACTATGTACATCATTTGTGCTCTGTGTGTGTTTTTTTGTGCTGCAAAAAGTTTGGTTTGTGCTGTTTTAGTTTTGGAGACATTAACGATTCTTTTATAGGTCAAATTAGGGTGAGCCGTCCCCCAGAAAGCTTAACATTTTGAGGGGCTGGATGACGTCATTAGACCAAAATAAAAGTGTTACTATCTTAAGAACCATAATCGCACCGTATTCAGTAATCTGCCGTAATCAGAGCTGGAGTTGAGGAAAATGGGAATTTTTGTAGTGCTTCAGTTCAGTTTATTTGCCATTTGCAGTACCTCAACTACCAGAGCACACAGCATTCACATGCTCCAACAGGCAAATTAAAACATTTTAAAAACACAAACCACAGAATATGAACACAAGTCAAATATCCCATTAAAACATAATTTAGTCAGAGATAAAATTAAAATATAAATAAATAAATGTAAAGACTCTATTTGGACAGACATAAAAATCTGCTTCCCCCTTTCATAGATAATGCTTAAAACAATACAATATTCCAGGTCTAAATTCGTGATATGTGTGTGTGTCTTTAACAAAGCCTGGAGTTTCCTGGAAACCTCTTTTGAACTGCGGGTCCAGACCTGATTGTAGCTTTGGGTTTGAACGGCTCTGAAGTTTTAGGCAGTTAACCCCAATGACCCCAGAGTACTCACACACATACATACACACACAGACAGCCAGACACACACACACACAGAAACACACAGACACACACACACACACACACACACACACACACACACACACAGACACACACACACACACACACAGACACACACAGACAGCTGGTTTAATGCTAAAAGTGGTGCTGTCCACGGAGATGTCATTTTTCTGTAAAACAGGTTCAAACTTGTACAAAAATAAACTCCTGGGATATAAATGTGCACTGTAAAACAAACTGGTGTAGACTGTTGTTCCTGAATATAAACTTCTGTTCTGCTTGTGATCACAGGTAAAACATGGACACTCGAAGCTGGTGTGGTGCTCTTTAGTCAGAAAAGTCTTCTACTATTATCGCAACAAAGAAGATAAGGTCTGTATCAAGATGCTTTACTGCCTTTTTAGCATTGATTGGGTAGCTAAACCAGCAATCTCACTTCACAGCAAGAAGGTCCCAGGTTCAATTCTCAGATGGGCCTTACTGTGCAGATTTAAATTTTAACTCAACTTTTTATTGAAGAGCTCATTTGCAAAAACAGAAAAGTCACTGTGGGCTTTCTGTTTACTCTTGGTATAGCAATGTTTTCCAAAGTCAAGTATATTTTATTGCAATTAAAGATCCTTCTGAGCTTTAAATCATGTTCTAATGGTGTTAACTCCTCAAAAACAGACCTGGAGTTGTGTTTTGTTTCACACATGTTTGAGTAACTCTTTATTATTAGTCTGTCTACATCTCCAAAATGGAAAATGCTTTTTTCTACCTTGTTATGTCATGTATAATAAGTTTTCAAATGAAGAGCTTCTTTTACCTTCAATTCAGTAGAGATTGAATTCCAGGGCTGAAATCATCCAAATGATTCAAGTAAAGTATGGAGTTTAAAAATGCAGTTTAAATATGTTTGTGTGTTAAAAGTGTGTGAATGAAACAAAACACAACTCAGGTCTGTTTGTGATGAGGAAACTGCATTAGAACAGAGATCAGAAAACAGAGTAATATGGCCCTTCAAAATATTCGATTGTCCTACATAGTTTGATACATTCTGATATTATTAAATCTCTGTCCCCTGCTCTCTAGCTTCCCCTGGGTCAGCTGCAGATCCGTGATGCCTCAGTTCAGGAAGTGGACAGGTCATGTGACTCTGATGAAGATTACGAGGCCGGAGGAAGAGGTTTCATCTCGTCTCATTGTACTCTAGTGATCCAGCCTCCAGAGCAGAGCCCCACCTACCTGCTCATAGGGACCAAACAGGAGAAGGTACAGAGATCACTTTACAGGCTGCCATAAGGGAAAACACACCGTACACAGATTATATTCTGAGTGTAAATTCTGTTTAACCGAACTACATATAGTTGCTTTGCCAGAATAAATTGCAATATGTTTACCTAGGTCTACAGTGTGTGAATCACACAATTTAAAATGTGTAATTGAACTTTGTATTAGTAACTGATCATTAACATAAAATATATTTTAATTAGGGGTGTCAAATTATCGCGTTAATTGCGATTAATTAATTACAGTCATATTTAGTGCGTTATGTTTTTTAATCGCGTTAATCTCATTTTTAATCTCTAACTTTTCTGTTTCTGTATGTGAGTTGCTTTATTATAAAACCTGTTTTTATGTGTTGTTGGGACAACAACACACACACAAAAAACACATTTATACATTTTTTTATTTCGGTAATTCCACTCATTGCCGGAAACCCACACAGAACACGCGCAGTAAGAGCGATGTAAACGTCATGTTAACGTTGGCGGCGTCAGTCACAATGGACGAGGTCGAAGAGCCAGTAGAACAGAGTCAGCAGTGCACAGGTAAAAACACATTCGTGTCTTGGAAATTCTTCTCCCGACGTGAAATATAAAAGAAAATAACAAATATAATATCGCCTACAACTTAAATGTCACTGGTGAAAACAACCTGCATAGACTCATGATGTCTGCACTACTGTCCTATAGTGACCTGCCACATGAGGGGACACGTACACAAACACACACACACAAACACACACAAACACACACAAACACACACACACACACACACACACACACACACACACACACACACACACACACACACACACACACACAACACAAACACAAACACAAACACACACAAACACACAAACACAAACACACACAAACACACACAAACACAAACACACACAAACAAACACACACCTTCATCATCGTCATTAACCTCAGAACGCGCGGACCACGTTTCCTTTTGTAGTTACTGCACGGACACCGATGTCCTCCCGTGCGCCACGTGTGGATCGTGTTTTCTTGCGTACGCGCCGTAAACTGCGCTTCCTCCTGTGTGCCTCTAAACCAGAACTAACACCAAGACTAAAACCGGGACTAACCCAGTCCAGGACTAAACCAGGTCTAAACCAGGACCAAACCAGGACTAAACCAGGTCTAAACCAGGACTAAACCAAGTCTAAACCAGGACTAAACCAGAACTAACACCAGGACTAAAACCAGGATTAATCCATTCCAGGACTAAACTAGGACTAAAGTAGGACTAAAGCAGGTCTAAACCAGGACTAAAACAAGGACTAAAACCAGGACTAACCCATTCCAGGACTAAACTAGGACTAAAGTAGGACTAAAGCAGGTCTAAACCAGGACTAAAACAAGGACTAAAACCAGTGATCTCATATATAAAGCATTTCTCTATCAATAATATTTTTTAATATGGTTAAGGAAAGACTGGACTTTTTATTGTCTTTAAGTAGACAAAAGTTATTATGTTCAGATTTCCTAGTCTTTGCTACTTTACAACAAACAGTTTCTTATTCATGGAGACTTGGGCTCAACAGCCAATTTGGAGAGATTTGTTAAACAATAAATGACTTTATAAAGTCACTTTTTTAAATCTACATCAGTCTTTTGATCTGCCACAATAATGTAATAATGAATTTAAATGAAAATACCTCAAATTGAAGGCTTTTCTCAGCAATTTTTAGGTGAGATTAAAATGATATTAATTAGATTAATTAATTACAGATCATAATTAATTAATCTCTCAATTTTTTTAATCGCATGACAGCACTAATTTTAATATCTTTTTTCCAAATTCTTCAGCCTTATTTAAGATTGTGATTTATAGGCACTAAGTGAGTTGTGTGGTTGTTACAGAAACGGTAACCTAAAACATTTTAAACTTGGGAATTCTAATAATCATATGTGGACCTAATACTCACCCCTAGAGGCTACCACTTATACAGGACAAGATTTTTAAAGACTAATCCTTATTTTAATTGAAATTTAAAACAAGAGTAACATAAGGTGGTCAAATGTCATGAAATCTTTCAAATCTTTCCCTCTCCCCTCTCTTCAGGACTCTTGGCTGTACCACCTGAGTGTGGCAGCAGGCAGCAGCGCCAACCTCCGAGTGGGCACTGAATATGAACAGCTCATTGGGAAACTCCTGGACATGGACGGAGACCCAGGTGTGAACCACAGAGGATTTTGAATCTTTATATTATCTATTTATACCCATGACTGGTTTTATAGACTCAAAGATAAACATGATTCAACACACCACCATTTTAACCTCAGAGCCATTTAGAGATTAAGTTATGTTTTCTACTTACACACTCTGAGAATTTTACTAGGTCAACATCTAGTCACTCCAACTACTGTCTCAGAAAGACATTTTTAGTAAGTTTAAGAATTTAAATAAGGTGTAATGTGGACTAACTGAGACATGAAATGAGGAATTACAGTATATGATATAAACAACATTAACTAACCCAAGACCACCACATTATAACCGGGACTAAACCAGGGCTAAACACGGACTAAACTAGGACTAAACCAGGACTAAACCAGGTCTAAACCAGAACTAAACCAGGACTAACCCTGGACTAAACCAGGACTAAACCAGGTCTAAACCAGGACTAAACCAGGACTAAACCAGGATTACACACACACACACACATATATCTATCGTGTCCTCGCATCTCCCCAATTCCTTGCCCAATGGTTTAGACAGTGGGGTCCAGAGGAAGAGGTGCTGGAGGGTTCATCATGGCAGGACAAACTCCTACACCTCCGTATCACCGGAACATAACTGAAGAGGCTGATATCAAGAAATCCTACCAGTGGCCTGAGAGGGCTGATCTGAAGGACACACAGAGGCTCTTCGTGGCTGCTCAGGAGCAGACCCTGGGCACTCGAGCAATAGAGGCCCAGATCTGCCACACCAGACAAGACCCACGGTGTAGACTGTGCAAAGAGGCTCCTGAGACAGTCCAGCACATAACTGCAGGGTGTAAGATGCTGCAGGGAAAGCAAACATGGAGCGACATAACCAAGTGGCAGGCATAGTTAACAGAAACATCTGTGCAGAGTACGGGCTGGAGACCCCAAGGTCAAGGTGGGAAACACCTCCAAAGGTTGTGGAGAATGACCGAGCCAAGATCCTGTGGGACTTCCAGATACAGACAGACAGGATGGTGATGGCGAACCAACCAGACATAGTGGTGGTGGATAAGAAACAGAGCAGAGCCGTGGTGGTGGACATCGCAATACCAAGCGATGGTAATATCAGGAAAAAGGAACACGAGAAACTAGAGAAATACCTGGGGCTCAAGGAGGAGCTGGTGAAAGCCTGGAAAGTGAAGGCATCAGTGGTGCTTGTGGTGATTGGAGCACTCAGGGCTATAACCCCCAAACTGGAAAAACAACAGACATCTCAGTCTAGAAAAGTGCAGTCTTGGGGACAGCAAAGATACTGCGCAGAACTCTCAGGCTCCCAGGCCTCTGGTAGAGGACCCGAGCTGGATGAGGGTGAGAGAGACCAACCACTGTGGAAGGTGAGAAACACATTTTTCATTTTTCGTGTTGAATTTCTCTTCCCAGAATCCCCTTGGTGGAGGAGTAGGACCCTGAGCTTCTGTCAAGACGGACTGAGAGTGCCGTTAACCACTCTGCCATCGGAGGCACTACAGACAGAAGCTATAAAACTATTCAAGGTTGGTTTCAATATAAAGGTGCATTCTGACTGTGAGCGGGGTTGCCTCTCCACAGATCTGGCCTGGAACTTGGTCTGGTTTGGTCTCCAAGGAGATAGAAAGGTTTAATGCTGTACTGTGAAACACTCCAGACAAAGTAATAGTCTCCATGGAGAAAAAGGGCTGGAAACAAATACATTTATACTTCCAACCACTCCTTTTCTCCTTTTCAAACTTGTATATAAATCCTTGTATATAAGGTTTACAATTTAATTTTTAATTTTTTGGTTGATTTTCTTCTTTCTTTTTGTTATGTCTTGAAATAAATCCCAAGCAAGCAATCATATATTCATACTTCGATCCTAATTGATACTTTTCAGTGACATGATGCTGGGGGTGTTCTACCTATAACTCTATTGGTGCAATGCCCGCTAGTTACCATGGTGACACAATACACACATTAACACAGACAAAAACATTTTAATATAGTTTGAAAGCTATGTGTGTAACTTTCAGGTGGAGGATCCGCCACTTGCTTCACTTCATGGAAATGTTATTGCTTTGTCTGGACTAAAGAATGTCCCACAGTATGGTATTAAGCAGTCTATTTCCATGGAGACAAGTCCACAATGCTTCCAGGCCAAATTACAGTTCATATCTGTGGAGAAGTGAGTTGCTTATTCACTGTAGGAATACATGTTTTTGTAGTATTTTTGAGCACTACAACACCTGTAATTGAATAAATGCATAGAGAGGGAGAGGGAAGGAGAAAGAGAGAGAGAGAGAGAGAGAAGAAGAGAGAAAGACACAGGGAAAGAGAGATCCCCCTCTCCCTCCCTCTCCTGCTCTCTGTGCTTCAAAGCCTTTAGCATGGGGGGCCTCTCATTAAAAGTGTAGATCAGATGCAATAATAGTGTTATCTCCTCTGATCCTCTCATCCTCCTTCTCCCCTCTTAGACTTAGTCCTGATTTGGGTCAGATCTAGTCTTAATTTTGTCCTGGTTTAGTTCTGGTTTAGTCCTGACTTATTCCTGGTTTAGTTCTAGTTTAGTCCTGACTTAATCCTGGTTTAGTTCTGGTTTAGTCCTAGAGCTCCCTACACTTATTGTCCTCTGAAGTACATGAATATTGAAAGACCAGGTCAGGAGAGAGAGGATTAAGCAGAGAGAGCAGGAGAGGGACAGAGAGAGGGAGATATTTTGTGACATTGTAAAAAATGGGATAGATTTTCCAGTCTTTCATCTACCCACTCAGATCCCTCCTTCATGCTTCACAGGCCTGTTCCCCTGAGACACATTGGAGGAGTTTGTTTTTCACTTCCACTCAACATCAGCGCAGAGAGAGAGAGAGAGAGAGAGAGAGAGAGAGAGAGAGAGAGAGAGAGAGAGGAGAGAGAGAGAGAGAGAGAGAGAGAGAGAGAGAGAGAGAGAGAGAGAGAGAGAGAGAGAGAGAGAGAGAGAGAGAGAGAGAGAGAGAGAGAGAGAGAGAGAGAGAGAGAGAGAGAGAGAGAGAGAGAGAGAGAGAGAGAGAGAGAGAGAGAGAGAGAGAGAGAGAGAGAGAGAGAGAGAGAGAGAGAGAGAGAGAGAGAGAGAGAGAGAGAGAGAGAGAGAGAGAGAGAGAGAGAGAGAGAGAGAGAGAGAGAGAGGAGAGAGAGAGAGAGAGAGAGAGAGAGAGAGAGAGAGAGAGAGGGAGATTGAGAGAGAGAGAGAGAGCGAGAGAAGATCTGTTTAGATGAATGTTTGTACCTTTTTGAAGAAATTGTGGGGAAATAAAGTTTATAATGAATTAATTTATTCATACTTTATACTTTATTTGTGTTATATTGATACTTTGCAGCTGATATCATCCACATTCCATGTGGGTGTGCTAACTGTAGGGTTTGCTCTGTCTGAATTAGACTTTAATCTGAGCTTTTTTAACACAATCTGACCAGAAAGAGAAGATTTATCTGAACTACAGTTGTAGAAAATAGTAGTTGTTCAATGAGTCTCACCTTTTAGTATAAAATCCAACTCCAAAACAGGACCATGAACGCTCGCTCTGATCACAAGAACATGAAAAGATATTCTTTAAATCACTTTTGTATTTTTGAGTCTTGAGTTTTCAGAGATCTTAAAACTTATCAAGCTGTGTTTGCTAATGTGTTCAGGGTATCACCATGGTAACCTCTGAACATTCCTGCTATAGAAATAAATGCAGTACACCCCCAGCATGATGTTTTCTTTGCTCTTTTGTGGTATGCATTTAAAAACGTAGTCACTAACAATATATTTAAAAGTGCACTTCTGACTTCTAAGTCAGGGTTTGGCTCCTGCTTGTTTCCATGGAGATACTTTGCCTGTAATGTTCCACTGTATGGCATTAAACTTATCTATCTTGCATTTATTCAACTGCAGGTTTTTAATACAAAAAAAAAAAAAAAAAAAAACAACACACACACAAAAATTACCTGATTAACATGCATTCTTACTGTGAGCAGAGTCGCCTCTCCACAGATCTGATTAATAACTTCCAAAGAACATGAGATTCTTGTATCAGTTTAGTAGCTGCACTTATATACAAAATAATAATAATAATAATAATAATAATAATAATAATATAAAGCTGATCATGTTTAACATTGTCACTACTTTACTGCCCTCTGCTGTCTCTATGTCGATATCACAACAAAATAACAGCCCTCATCTCTTTCCCTCTCTCCCTCTGTCCTATTCCTTACACTCTCCCTTTCTTCTTCTTCTCCCCTCTGTTCCTTTTCCTTCCTCTCCTTATCTCTCCCTCTCTCTTCCCTTTCCCTCACATCTCCCCTGCCTCTCCTTTCTCCTCCATCTCCTCCCCTCTCTCCATGTCCCCTTCTCTCTCCTCTCTCCCTCTCTCTCCCTCCTCTCTCTCTCTCTCTCTCTCTCTCTCCCTCTCCCTCCCCCTTTCCTCTCTCTTTTCTCTCCCTCCTTTCTCTCTCCCCCTCACTAGTCATGTCAGTTGTTCATAAACGTCCTGGTTGAGTCCCCCTCGGTGGACTACCACACGTCCTTGGCCCAGAATGCATTGCAGGTGTGTGTCACACACCCGGAGCTTCAGAACGAGATGTACTGTCAGCTGATCAAACAGACCAACCGCCGCACGCCGCACAACTACTCCCTCACACAGGTCAGGGGCATGCACACTTTCAGTCATTTTCTCCAAAACAGACCTGGAGTTGTGTTTTGTTTTACACATGTTTGAGTATGTGGGGAAGCTGGCCAAAATGGTCAAAAGGAGGCAGACAAAAAAATGTCCATTTTAACCAAAAAATATTTATTTGTTCTTACACCATGGATTCGTGGGCAAAAAAAAAAGAGAAAAAATTACATATTTACAAAAAATAACTGTGCTTAAATAAAGGCAAAACCAACAGAAATTAATGAAACAAAGGAAAAACCCCATGTGCACACGGCTGCACTAGTGGTGAACCCCCGACTGGTGACTGAACTTCTCCCACTTTAGAGTTCCCAAGTCCCCTTTAAATAACAGTGCTCAAAATAAACTAGAAACACTGAAATATGAAAATCATACAAACAAAATCCATAAAACAAAAGAACTGAAAATGAGTCGTCCCTCCACATGGTCTGGGCCAAACCTTCCTCCAGAAACTACAAATATGGCTGACCAAGGTCATGCCCCCTCTTTTGTCTCCAGACCATATAGAGTAATAGCTAAGGTGGTAAGTTGTCTGTATAACAAAATGAGTAGATATAACTAGTGATGGTCACTGTTGGGCAAGTTACTTTGAAACTGTAATGCGTTATTTATTACCTATTACTGTAATTTCAAAGTAATTCGTTACATTACAATATTACTGCATTTAAAATGTAAGGCATTACATTACTATTGCATTACTTTAAGTTACTCTCACCAAAATAACTTTTGCGCTGTATATGGACTGAACCAGGACTAAACCAGGTCTAAACCAGGACTAAACCAGAGCTGAACCAGGACTAAACCAGAAGTGAACTAGGACTAAACTAGAACTGAACTAGGACTAAAACAGGACTCACTGTAGGGAAGGGCTCGAAGGTGACCGCAGGAGAAAGGAGCGGCTCTGCTCCACACCTCACGGAGGTAAGAGCGGCTGTCACCCGATCGCTCTTTATGGACACCCTGCTGCTTGGGCTCGCGGCCCTGATTTCAGCAACTATTTGCAGGTACCCGAGCCGGTGCAAGAGTCTGTTACAGCGCGTAACTTCTACCTTCCTTCAGCGTGTCCAGAAGTCCAACTTTTTGTGTGATGGTTTGCATCTTCCTCTGCCTTTTGGGTGCGAGCGCAGGAGCCTTTGTCGGTGCAGAACGTTTCGTCGACGTTGTGGGTTTTCGTCGGGGAGAAAACTTGCAACCGTACAGCACTTCAGAATCACACTGCTAGAGATTGAACATGTATTTAAATTTGGCAGCTGAACACATTCTGTACTGTACTGTACAGGAGACAGGAGTCCCTTGGCCAGTCAGGACGCAGCGGGAGGAACGCAATACGCATCATACAATGTAAAAAAAACAGGGCATGCAAAATTGCACAAAAATAATTAAATAAAAAATCTGCGAGACAGCGAAAAGTGAACTGCGATAGAGGGAGGGACGAGTGTAAACCAGGTCTAAACCAGAACTGACCCAGGTCTAAACCAGGTCTAAACCAAAACTGACCCAGGTCTAAACCAGGTCTAAACAGCGTGGAGTTCTTTGTCAGTCCTTTCGCCCGCGGTTACCTGAAGGTCTATGAGGGCGCATCTCCGGCGTTTCACCGCTGCTGATATCGAGGTGATTTTAGCGAATTTGTATGAAGAAAAACCCACCACTTCAATCCAGGTTAAAAAAAAACACTGTAACGCGCGTTGCTCACATTTGTACCGAGTAAAATATTACTATTTTTTCCCCTGTAATGCCTTACATTACTGCGTTACAGCAAAAAGTAATGCATTACTGTAATTCGTTACTTTTATAACGCGTTACTCCCAACACTGGTGATGGTGAGATAAAGCCTCATGAGGCATTGAACCACTTGAGCCAACTGGTTCGAGAAAGGGTTAATTTCTCAAAGTTTCATGTGCGCACGAACCCACCTACTGGCCAAGTGTATAATCACAGGCAGCTGTATCTGAACCACATCATGTGTGAGGCATTGAATTTTTGTGTCTATTATGTCTGTTGGGAATGACTATGAATTACAAAAAATGTAAGGCCAAATATAATTTTGTATGCATTCTGTGTGTCATTTTCCCAAAATGGTAATATTATAATATGGCAAGGTAAGCAGTTTTTCTGAAAATGGCAGGGGTGTGATCAGGCAGAGGACAGTGAAAGGGCATATGGAAGTAGGAAAAGGGCAAAATATGATATACAGGACAAGGGAAATTGTATTCATTTTTATTTAGAAACAAGAGTTTCTCAATAGTTTTTAATTTTAACCTATTTCTTTCTTTTTTATTTTTTTGACACAACCTCTCCAGCCTTTGAGAGACTATACACTCTATTCAAACTCTAGTATCCAAACTCTCCAAACTCTATCCAAACTCAACTGAATGTGACTCTCCTTCAAATACCCACATTTTGAATGGAGCCTGAGGGGTCTATATAACTGTAATAGCTTGCAGCAAAATCTGAACCACTTCCTGAAGCAATCACGTGGTAGCCGGGCAGCGAGGCTTCGAACATCATCTTTTTTGACTCCTCCCCTAATTGAAGCAAGCCTTGATATGTGTCTCGCGGAAACACCCCTTTCACTACTCAGCACAAGCTTCAAAGCCTGAGCACATCTCGTAACATCACTAGATATAACCAAATAAAACATATTTAAAGTAACTGGTGTGAAGTGATTAACTTAACTAAACAAAGACTAAATAAAACAAACCCATGATAGTAATATTTAGCTGTTTAGTTGATTATGGAAACAGATGTAAAATGAAATGAAATGTGAATAAATAGGGACAAAGGCCCTCTTTGTCACAGAGTAACCCTTTATTATTAGTCTGTCTACATCTCCAAAGCTCCAAATGCTCTGTTCTACCTTGTGATGTCATGAAGTGGTAGTTTTCAAGTGAACTGCCCCTTTTACCTTTAGATCAATAGAGATCAGCAATTCCAGAGCTGAAATAAACCATATGATTCTAGTGAAGGTGTATGGAGTTTACAAACTCAGTGGAGCGATTCTTGTATTACCACATGACATCACAAGGTGGAACAGAGTGTTTTCAGTCTGAGAGAAGAACTCAGCCTAAATATACAGTGTTTGTTTGTTAAACGTGTGAATGAAAAGTTGGTATATATACATTAGAGTAGGTAGGTGGTTACACACTTGCATAGCTCTTCACTTCACAATTTAAAGCTGTATTCTGGAACTTTTTTTCCTCTCTTGTACCCAGTGCTGGCAGCTGTTGTCTCTGTGTGTGGCTCTTTTCCTGCCTCAGCATCACTTCCTCTGGTATCTGAGACAGTACCTCCAGCTCCAGGCAGACCCACGGTGAGACCAGCCAGGGACTTTTTATCAGTGTTTTTATTTGTAATTCAATTTTGTGTTTATTTGTTGAGTTGTACATTATTTAAGTAGTTAATGTTGTAGCTTAATATATGTAATGTATGATAATGTATATAAGTAATTTGGACCAAAACTATGATTAATTTCACAGATAGTTTTGTCTACTTAACATATATTTCTGGTCCTTGACATGGACATGATAAGCTTAATATTCATAATGTCCACAACAGCAAATCAAATTAAATCCAGTCCAGTACACTTTATTTTTATAGCACATTTCATAAACAAAGACTGTTTCCAAAGTGTGCTGTACATAAAATAAAAAAAAATCTACAATTTGATCCAATAAAAACTAAAAATAATAATAATAATAATAATAATAATAATAATAATAATAATAATAATAATAATAATAATAATAATAATTTCGTCCCACAGGAGTGAGGTGGGTAAATATGCGGTGTATTGTCAGAGATCGGTGGAGAGAACTCTACAGAATGGAGAGAGAGAGGCCAGACCTTCACGTATGGAGATTGTGTCCATTCTTTTGAGGAACCCCTATCACCACTCACTGCCCTTCAGTATCCCTGTGCACTTCATGAACAACACCTACCAGGTCAGAGTTGCACAAGAACCTTGACAGCTATTAAAGGGGCACTATTTGACTTTTCTGGTGGAGGGTGTGCCACCTGCTTGTCTCCATGGAGATGTCATGCTTTCCACTATGTGTGGCCAGACCTCCTCAAAACCTGATCTCGTTAGCTCTCTTTTGCTGAGCGCATCTGAGCCTAATGAAGATTTGGATGGGAGACCGCTGGGAAAATCAGGTGCCACAGTGGGGCGCCAGCAGGAAAACTGTTGTGTCTTTAGGCAAGACACTTTACCAACATTGTCTAGTATGCAAGTGCGGTGTGCGTGAGTGTTGGTAGTGGTCAGAGGGGCAAATGGCACAGATTGGCAGCCTTACGTCTGTCAGTCTGCCCCAGGGCAGCTGTGGCTACAATAATCTCACCACCACTAAGTGAAGAGTGACTGAATAATGCACCAAATTGTGAAGTGTCTGGAGAAGTGCTATATAAGACAAATTTATTATTATTATTATTATTATTATTATTATTATTATTATTATTATTAATAATAATAATAATAATAATAATAATAATAATAATAATAATAGTAGTAGTAGTAGTAGTAGTAGTAGTAGAATAGAACTTAGATGTGTTTTATTAATCCCTTTTAGGAAATTATTTTGTTGCAGTGGCTCATTTTACAACTGCACTCATCTAAAACAATCTTACACCAAAACAAAACAAAACAAAACAAAAAACTGAACTGTATTTCCCCTAAAGCAGAAAAGCAAAAAGGGGATCTAACCCTTCTAATATCCTTTCTTCGGCAGGTGGTGGGTTTTGATGGCTCCACCACAGTGGAGGAGTTCTTAAACACTTTAAACCAGAGGATCCAGATGAGGAAGCCTCAGCTCACTGGGTTCTGTCTCTTCACTGATGATCCTTCAGGAAAAGACCTGGAGCACTGTCTCCAGCCCACAGCAAAGGTACAGAATTAACAGTTTAAAGATATAAAAGTGTTAAAAGCATGTGCGTATGTATTCCCTTCTTACTACAGTGTCAAATAAGACACATGCTTATAGCTGATGGTCACTGAGTGTTTCTGTCTGTGTTGTTTTAGATCTGTGATGTGATTTCCAAATGGGAGCAGGCATTAAAGGAGCTACAGCCAGGAAAGAATGAAGCAACGCGCATCGTCCGCTTAACTTATAAAAACAGGTATGAGATTCAAGCTGGAGTGAATTCTTTAATTTCATGTTCATATGGGATGTACACTTTTTAAAAATTAATTTCTGTTAGTCAGTGAGCCGAGAAGATTCTGGAACAGACCAAAAAAAAAAAAGGATAACTGAATCTCAAACCAGCTTGAAATCTGACTTTCCTTTGTGTAGAGCTTGTTCCTCTTATAATGAGAGTACAGAGACAATTAGAGACAGTTAGAGGAGAACAGGAGCTTCAGCTTTTGCTTCAGACAGAGTCCAGTTTTTTGTCTGACCTTCAAAGTTTTCAGAAACAGATTTAATTTGAATTGAGTCATTTTAGTCAGATGTAGAAGATAAACTTCACCTCTGGCAAAGTTGAAGCAAACATTATTTATAATTTGCTTATAATTTTCTAAAAGCCTGTCATCTCTGTTTTCCATTTGTCCAGGTTGTGCTTCCGCTCTCAGGTGAAAGGAGAGACAGAGCGTGAGCGCCTCCTTCTGGCCTATCAGGTGAATGGTGAGGTTCAACAAGGACATTTTCCTGTGAACAAGGAGCTGGCAATGGAGGTGGCTGCACTCATGGCGCAGGTCAGTCACTGCAAATACATTTTGAAGGTGCATTTTGTAACTTTTTGGTCGCAGGTCTGTCACCTCCTTGTTTCTATGGAGATGTCACTGCTCTGCCTTGAATGTTCCACAATATGACATTAAAGAGCTCTACTTTACATTTATTCAATTACAGGTGTTTTTTATGGCTCAAAAATACCTAGAAACACAGACATTCTGACTGTGAGCGGGGTCACCTCTCCACAGATAAACATAGACAAAGATAGACAAAGTAATAACATCTCTTTGGAGAACAGCGTTTGATGGAGCCTCCACCAGAAAAGTTACACAATGCAACTTTAAATTATTTTACATAATTTTACATATTATATATATATATATATATATATATATATATATATATATATATATATATATATATATATATATATATATATATATATATATATATATATATATATATATATATATATATATATATATATATATATAAATCTCCCCCATTGTAGGTTGAACATGGGGATCTAGAGCGCCCCCTGGTGTCTGCCTCTGGTTCTGCCCAGCCCAAGTCTCAGCTGATTCTGATTCAGGCTTTAGAGAAGTTTTATCCCAAAAGATACAGACAGGACCTCAGCGCAGATCAACTCAGGTAAGGTTTTTACTTTTTATTTATTTATGTGTATTTATGTCAAAACCTTGAATTAAAACTTGGATTGAAATTGAAAACATCCTTTTTTTTTTTTTTTTAAGACCTATTAGTAAAATATTGAATCACTTGTTTACTCTCATATTCAGTTTTTCAAGGTGCTCAGAGTTGTTTTACAGTTTTGTGACACACTCAAACTAGACAGATGCATGCAAGTGTCTTGCTTAAGGAAACAACAGCAGTTTCCCTTACATGTACTACTACATGCCCAACCCTGCTTAGCTTCAGTATGTTCTATTCATTGTGTGTAGTATTAGTATTATTCTATATTTCTGAGGTTAAACAAATATATAATGTGATCTGACAGTTTTCATAAATAAAATGAAACAACCTGTTTTATTTCTCTCCTTCTTTCTCCTTCCCTCCGCTTTCTCCCTCTCTTCTTCTTTCTATCTCATCCTCTCTCTCTCCTCCTCTCTCTCCCTTCTTCTTCTCTCTATCCCCTTCCTGTTTCTCTCCTCCTTTCACTCTTCTCTCTCCTTTCTTCTTCTCTCTCTCTCACGTCCCCCCCTCCCCTACTCTTTATGTTTCCTCCTTTCTCTGTCCCTCTCTCTCTCTTTCCCCTTCTCCCTCACCTAATTCTCCCCTTCTCTCTCTTTGCCCCCCTTCTTCCTCTCCCTCACTCTTTCTCTCTCCCTCTCTCTCTCTCTTTCCTCCCTCTCTCCTCTCAGAGACCTGTTGGAGCGTTTTCTTTGTAAGTGGGCATTGCTTCGTGGTTGCAGTAGTAGTTCTGAGTGTGTGTGAGGATTTATCTCACTGTGGCCAGAAAGTGGCCGCTGTTCGGTGCCAAACTCTTCTCTGCAAAGGTAAAACACACAAGTGATTATGGAGTAACTTGTTTAGAGGTGCCATTTTGAGTAAATATTTTGTTCTGAAACGTTAATTATTACAGATTTACTACAACCTTGTTTTCTTTCAGAGACTGATTTGATTTGGTGCTATGATTTTGATTTGCTTAAAGGACTTGTATCACCCAAAATTGACTCTTGTGAGCCATTTCTCCTCAAAAACACACCTGGAGATGTATTTTGTTTAATTCACACATGTTTGAGTAACTCCTTATTATTAGTCTGTCTACATCTCCAAAGCTTCAAATGTTCTGTTCCACCTTGTGTTGTCATGAAGTGGTAGTTTTCAGCTCCTTTTACCTTTATTTCAATACAGAAAAATCCCGCACACCGTCTTACTTGCAAACTGTGAAATTTATTAGGACAAACTGTGCAACGTTTCGGCACTAGGCCTTCGTCAGGCAAACAGAATGAGAGCTTCTTCTTATTCTATGATCGTTGTATGATGATTTCATTATTATTATTTGTATTATTATTACACTATATGTTGACTGTCTTTGTTTTTTTTGAATTATGGGGTTTTGTGTGCACTGTTTCTTCATGACCTGTCACCCTTGGGTGCTTGCCACACCCTATTTAAGGTGGCCACCTGAGCTCTCATTCTGTTTGCCTGACGAAGGCCTAGTGTCGAAACGTTGCACGGTTTGTCCTAATAAATTTCACAGTTTGCAAGTAAGACGGTGTGCGGGATTTTTCTGTATGTTCTGGGGCTGCTCCCTCTCCTCCAACGCACCTGTCTCTAGTAGTTGATGTGCGAGGCTCTCATTCTCTCATACCTTTAGTTCAATAAAAATTGGCAATTCCAAGTCTAAAATGATTCAAAGGAAGGTGTATGATATTTAAAAGCACAGTTTTTGATATGACATAAGAAGGTGGAGTGGAGTGTTTTTAAATTTTTCTTTTTGAGAAGAACTCAGTCTAAATGTGCAGGGTTTGTGTGTTAAACATGTGTAAATGGAACAAAACCCAACTCCAGGTCTCTGTGTGATGAGGGAACGACATTAGACCAGATCAGAAAACAGTGTAATATGGACCCTTTAATGTAAATTTAATGTTAAATGAAATGTGTGTGTGTGTGTGTGTGTGTGTGTTGTTTCCAGCCTGTTCCTCCGTGTTCACTGGAGCAGACTCAGGTTTGGCTGGCAGTCAGTGAGGATGGCCTGTGTGTTCTTGACTTGACAATGGTGAGTTGTGCAGATATGTTTGTAGATAAATCACAACTTAAAACTTAAACTTAAATGAATGAAAGAGAACATGTGGAGACTAGAGGCAGACCCCAGATCACAACAAAGGAACAAAGAAACCAGCACGTTTACACATGTCTCATGAAGCAGCCACAATTTATTATGGTTTGATCATCAAAAAACAGGTTGAATGATTATGGGTTTACTCAAAATCTTTTAAACTAATGGGTTTTTACTTTTAAACTAAAGTGAAGTTTCTAGTTAACAATGACTGCAGTTACACACACACTCGAAATCTGATTATTGTCAGATTGTTTGGAGATCAGATTTTATTTTTCTTTAATTCTTTTTATCTATTTAATTCTTTTTTAGTACTGCTTTTATTTATTGATTTTTATTATTTTTATTTATTGATTTTATTCATTGTTTTAAATATTTTTATCTATTGTTTCTATCAGTTTCTTTTGTCCAGAACATAATTCTACTGAGTTTTAAAGTTAAAGGTTTTACACTGCCGTGTGAAGCACTTTGGAAACTATCTTGTTTATAAAATGTTCTATACAAATAAAGTTGGATTGGAGAGGATTCTTAAAAATCACAATTTAAAAGCAAAATTATCTGATTTCTTCGGGATTATTGTCCATTTAACACTCACATTTTGCATTTTATTTGAATTATCATTTAAATACATATACATTTATTCAGGGGTTTTATAGCAAAGAATAACAAGCATTCTGACTGTGAGCAGGGTTACCTCTCCACAGATCTGACCTTTAACTTGGTTTGGTTTGGTCTCCATGAAGATAGGTTTACCATACTGTGAAATATTCCAGACAGATGGAAAGTAGAAAGTCCTTTAGAAATAATTAATGAACTAAAATAAGTCTTTGCTCCACAGCACCTCCTGGTGACGTACCCGTACCAGTGCGTGGTGACGTTTGGGGGCTGCAGGGAGGACTTTGTGTTGGTGACGACGCAGCAGAAGGAACCTGGAGCTGGGAAGAAGAGTGTGGAGAAACTGGTATTTACTATGGCCAAACCAAAGGTACAGGGCATGGGGTTTGGGCCTAAATAACATACAGTAGCTACTTACATTTCGTTTGAATTCAGAAGGTTCTGGAATCGGACCACAACTTGAGAGGATGACACTCATTTGTTTCACATGCCCTCTTCAAAATTCTTGTAACATTCAAAACAAAATGTATAACGTCTTTTGCCTAAGATAAGTCATAGTTTGGTGCGTCTGTTGTAAATTCTGTAAAAATCTGCTCTGTTTCTCAGTTCTTTGTATAGATTCTTCTCCTTTTTTTATGTGTAAGCAGCTATGTTTGTTTTTTACACAAACGGAACATTCTCTCTGATTGGTTTACCCACCTTTCAGTCACCCCCCCCTGAATTCAGGGGAGACAGGACACAGCTCCAGATCCACTCGTCTCTGTGAAGTATTTGCAAAGTGTGTGGTTCTGCCTGCACAGTTAAACTTAATCTCAGCCCTTCTCACTCTGCCTCCACACGTGTCTTTTTAGTGTAAATCTCCATTCAAAACATTGAGTTGTTTTGCTGCTATTGAAACTGAAAGTTTTCTTTTTCTTTTTCTTTTAGAAAGAAATTTTATATATATATATATATATATATATATATATATATATATATATATATATGTGTGTGTGTATATATATATATATAGTTAAAGTAAGTTAAACAGTGCTTCCACACTAAAAATACTGTTATTGTGTCTTTGGGTAAGACATTGCACCCATTGCTTTTGTTTATATGTGTGAATGCATACAGTAGTGGCTGGAGGGATTGATGGCAGTCTCACTTACATCAGTTTGTCCCAGGGCAGCTGTGACTTCAAAAGTAGCTTACCACCACCAGTGTTGGGAAGTAACTGAATACATGTGCCATATTTTTTGGACTATAAGTCGATCTGGAAAATTTATTTTATAAAATCAGAGACCAGGAACCGATATTTCATGTTGAAAGTCAAGTTGTAGTAATAACAATAGAAGAGAGAACAACAGACTGTTAACGTCACATATGAACAGTTCTTCAGATAATTATAGCATAAACAACAGAACACAACAAGTTTACCAAACTCTCCATCTCACTGCAAATCACTAAATCCATTGAAGTGACACTGAGCAACTCTGCGACCTCCGGAGGTAAACGGAGCGCCACTTCCTCTTCTGTGTAGCTTTCATCAGACTCAGCATCAGTTCTAGTTAGAATTATTCCAGCCTTTCTGAATCCTGATAGGATGGTTTCGGCTTTGTCGATTCATCCATCGAACCCAGGAAAGTTGCATGGCATACCCTACCAGTTGCCGTGAAGCTGTGTTCTCCATCCCCGCCTTTCGCCAGTCCTTCACAAGTTTCTCGCTCACTTCATACTTTCTTTCTGCTGTTTGATTACCGTTTTCGGCTGCATATTTCGCTACTTGCAGCTTGTAATCTGCAATATATGATTTTCTGTTTGGGGACATTTTGTGTTCAGTCTTCTCAGTCGTCTTTATAAGTTTGTTTAAATTTTCAATTTTCAGTGGTACAGAAGTAATGGTGTGATCGACTGACATGATACAGACAGGACAGAGGTTCTTTCTGCAGGAGAAAGCACAGTAGAGCCAAGTGACAGTGGTACAGGCGTAATAGGCGCAGCAGATACTGGCACACAAGACTAGAGCGCCCTCTCATGGCTGTCAGTGTGAAAATTTTAACATATAAGTCACAGCGGAGTATAAGTCTCAGGACCACCCAAACCATGAAAAAAAGTGCAACTTATAGTCCAAAAAATACGGTACCAAGAATAAATATTTTGAATAGTAATTTTAAGTACCTGTATTCTATTTTCTCTTTTTCATTTGCTGGTGTTCAAGTAGTCGTAAAAAAAAGGTGACGGCACTTAAACACTCAATTTAAGCTTCAAACTGCCCATAACTAGTGAGAAAAATAGAAAACAGCTCATGTGGAGAGTTCAAGCACAATTTTTCCATCTCCAGTTTGTGATAGTGAAGACATAAAAAAGTGGTGAAACAAATACAAAGCTGTTTTTAATCCTATGGTGCAGCTTTATACTATAATTTAAAAGCAACTCGATGTAAAAGTATTCAAAGTATTGAGAATACAGTACTCTGATTGGACCATGTATCAGAATACATTAAAGCGTTTTAATTATTTGTGTTTTTTATGTTATTCTATTCCCAGATTTTGGAGCTAACATTACTAATGGCTAGCTACATAAACCACTGGAGTCCCGGCGTTTCCTCCTCCCCCCATGAGAGCCCCGCCCACTGGGACACAGACAGCCCCCACTTCCCCTCCATGAACTATACGACCAAGGGACCCACGCTACTGTGAATGACGCTAACAAAACCACTCAAAAAGAACAGACTGAAGAGAAATTAACTACTACTGCTTCAATAGTAGTGATTATGAATGGCTCTATAAAG